ACAAGTCCAAATCAATATCCATGGTTTCTGTTGACACACTGAGGTCATAAAGTTTGTGGTCTCTCAGTTTGCACACACAGTTTTACTAGTTTGCATAAAAAAACAAGTCATGACTGAATCCAAATCATTACTTGATTCATAATATGAAAGTCAATGGTTACCCGTTTTTGAGATTAAAAAAACACAAACTAGTCTAAATCAATCCTCGTGGCTCCTCTTAACACTCAAAAACTCTCTAATAACCAAAAGTCTCAGTTTTCACATTCGGTTTTACCCATTTACATAGAAAAAAAACATTTACAAAAAAGTTGTGACTGAATCAAAATCATTCTTTAAAAGGACAGTTCACTGAAAAATATACATTTAGAGTTGATTTACTGACGCTCGGGTCATTTAACATTGAACTTGACTTTTTGTTTCTCCAGGGGAACATTAAAGATGATTTTTAGCTAAATTCAAGGTGCTTGGTGATTTCTATAATGCAAGTCAATGGTTACCCATTTTTGACATTAAAAATAAACGTTTTTAAGTCCAAATCAATGTCCATGGCTTCTGTTGACACACTGAGGTCAAAGTTTGTGGTCTCTCAGTTTGCACACATGGTTTTACTAGTTTGCATAAAAAAACAAGTCATGACTGAATCAAAATCATTACTTGATTCAAAATATGAAAGTCAATGGTTACCCGTTTTTGAGATTAAAAAAACAAAAATAAACTAGTCCAAATCAATCCTCGTGGCTCCTCTTAACACTGATATCTCAAAAACTCTCCAATAACCAAAAGTCTCAGTTTTCACATTCGGTTTTACCCATTTACATAGAAAAAAACCTTTAAAAAAAAAGTTGTGACTGAATCAAAATCATTCTTTAAAAGGACAGTTCACTGAAAAATATACATTTAGAGTTGATTTACTCACGCTCGGGTCATTTAACATTGAACTTCACTTTTTGTTTCTTCAGGGGAATATTAAAAATGATTTTTAGTTAAATTCAAGGTGCTTGGTGATTTCTATAATGCAAGTCAATGGTTACCCGTTTTTGACATTAAAAATAAACGTTTTTAAGTCCAAATCAATGTCCATGGCTTCTGTTGACACACTGAGGTCAAAGTTTGTGGTCTCTCAGTTTGCACACATGGTTTTACTAGTTTGCATAAAAAAACAAGTCATGACTGAATCAAAATCATTACTTGATTCATAATATATAAGTCAATGGTTACCCGTTTTTGAGATTAAAAAAACAAAAATAAACTAGTCCAAATCAATCCTCATGGCTTCACTTAACACTGAGGTTGAACTTGACTTTTAGTTTCTTCAGGGGAATATTAAAGATGATTTTAGCTAAATTCAAGGTGCTTGTTGATTTGTATAATGCAAGTCAATGGTTACCCGTTTTTGACATTAAAAAAAACACATATAAACAAGTCCAAATCAATATCCATGGCTCCTGAGTCATACGTTAATGTCTTCTGATGTCTTCCTATTAATAGCTTTAGTTCACAGCCTAAATAAACGGTTATTGGTGAAGGCATAGTGAGTGCAAGCTTCTGGGCACTTTATGTTGTATGCACAAGCTAATAATGCTGTAAAAAACCTAAATAATTAAAGAAAAATGTAAATAATGTTTTGCACAAACCAATCGTAGCAGTAATAAGAGCTCAGCGTGTCATCAGGGATCGATTTAGACTCGTTTGTATATATTTATTTCAATCTCAAAATAGGGCCACCACTGACTTGCATTGTAAAAAATCCCCAAAGACCACAAATTTAGCTAAAATCTTTAGCTAAATCTTCTCTAATATTCCCCTGAAGAGAAACAAAATCGTCAAGATGAAGGACCTGAGAGTGCATACATTAACAGCAAATTAAAATGTCGGTTAAGTATCCCTTTAAGGTTTTTTAGACCAATTATTGGTCTTAATGAGAATGAGTACCAAGCAAATATTTATGTAATACAAATTATTTAAAAATATTGTTTGTATTTTGTTTGTAATTTGCATATTAGCAGAGCTAAACAAGCAGTGAAGTTAAAGTAAGCATTAATATTCTGTGGAGGCGGAGCTTAGCACCCCTATTACATCATGGAGTGGAACATTCCATAACCTGCAGTTTCAATATAAGCAGTTTTTTAGAGGAACGATGATTATTTGAGTTCTGAAACGTACACAAAGGATCAAGGGATGTTTTATTTCTCAAGTTTATGACCCTTCAAATGTATATCACTGTTAGATTCAAAGCTTCTCAAATGTTTGTGACTTCTCATGGGTCAAAAAAGTCTCTCGCTGCATTTAGTTTCCATGAAAAGCTCGGTGGATGCGTGGAAACTTGGAGGAATGGAAACTCTGTGATCCAGACGGGAGGCCAAACAATAATCTCTCTCTCAACATGAGCCATTAGAAGGCCAGCGAGTGGAGAGAGAGTGTTTTTGAACATCTGCAGAGAGGTTTTTTCGTGGAAAACAAGAGGTCGGTTTGAGAATACGCACAAAAGAGAGAGTGGGAGCTACAAAAACCTGTGCTTTAAAATGCTCAGCCTTGGCATTCCTTAAGAGAGAGACCTCAAAAAAACACAATGACTATACATTTCTTTCATTCAGACCGGAAAAACTGAAAAAGCAAAAAGCATTCTGGTAGATAGTAAGCAATACCTCTTTGATTTCAACAACACATATGCAGGTTCAGATCTTCATAAAAATCTACGTAGGACAGTGTAAAGGATAGAGAACCATCTGGTTTAATGTGGGATGAGTCTCTATGGTGAATCCAAATAGGAAAACTGAGACTAATCAGCCGGAATTATAATTATAACCATGTAAACCACTTTTGCATCCCACAGATATTTTATGCAACCTAAGCACCAAACAACATTTGCAACCTACTTCCAAAGTTTGAGGCAGAAAATCACTTCTTCTAAGTGGGGATGTGTTTATTTGCTTTAAAAAAGTTATAGTTTATACAGATTTGATGCCAAAAGTACAGTTTTGTGGAAACAATATGCTTCTTTAGGATTAATTTCTGATGAAAATCAAAAGGAACAGCGTTTATTAGAAAAAAAGACACTACAAAAACTATTCCTGTCACTTTTTGCCTGTTACTTCTGATAAAACTGATGTGTCCTTGAAGAGAAGTACAAATATCTGAAGCAAGTCATTTAAATAGGGGGAAAAAATACTGTTTAATAGTGAAAATAGGCGGGTCTAACAGTCCCTTAGAGGTGGAGCTAACAATCATTTAGGGGTGGAGCTATCAGTCCATTAAAGTGGCGCTATCCATATTTTAGGACGGGACAATCAGTCATATAATTAATTTCAGTAATTTAGGGATGGGGCTATAAGTCAATTAGGGGCAGAACTATCAGTTATTTTGGGGCGTAATCATTACTCATTTAGGGGTGGAGCTATCAGTCCATTAAAGTGGGGCTATCAATTTTTTTGGACAGGACTATCAGTGATTTAAGTTGGGGCTATCAGTACTTAGGAGCGGAGCTAATCAGTCTTTTAGGGGCAGGGCTATCAGTCCTTTTGGGGCGGAACTATCAGTCATTTAGGGCAAAGCAGTGGCGCAGTAGGTAGTGCTGTCGCCTCACAGCAAGAAGGTCGCTGGTTCGAACCTCGGCTCAGTTGACGTTTCTGTGTGGAGTTTGCATGTTGTGGAGGTTTCCTCCACAGTCCAAAGACATGCTGTACAGGTGAATTGTGTAGGCTAAATTGTCCGTAGTGTATGAGTGTGTGTGTATGTGTGTGTATGTTTCCCAGAGATGGGTTGCGGCTGTAAGGGCATCAGCTGCGTAAAAACGTGCTGGATACGTTGGCGGTTCATTCCGCTGTGGCGACCTCGGACAATAAATAATAAAGGGATTAAGCCGACAAGAAAATGAATGAATATCAGTCATTTAGGGGCAGAACTATAGTAATTTAGGGGCAGAACTATCAGTCCTTCAGGGCAAGAGCTATTAACTCATTAAAGTGAGGGTATCAGTATTTTAGGGCAGGGCTATCAGTCACTTAGGGGCGGAACTATCAGTTATTTTGGGGCGGAACTATAAGTCATTTAGTGGTGGAACTATAGGTCATTTAGGAGAGGAGCTAAGAGTACTTTGAGGGGTGGGGGTATCAATACCTTTAGGGGCAGAACTATTAGTCATTTAGGTGCGGAACTATACGTACTTTCATTGTAGACACAATAACCAAATGTATTTTTATATGTAAATCTTGAGTGGTTTTGATAGTTTATTCAAATTTAAAGAGCTAACAGTCCTTTAGGGGCGGAGCTATCATCATTTTAGAGAGGGACTATCAGTATTGTAGGGCGGGACTATCATTAGTACCAATTGAGCAGAGTCAGCGCCACAGCCTACCTGAGTATTGCTGACCATGTCCATCCCTTTATGACCACAGTGTATCCATCTTCTGATGGCTAGTTCCAACAGGATAACGCACCATTAATGTCATACAGCATGAATCATCTCAGACTGGTTTCTTGAACATGACAATGACTTCACTGTACTCAAATGCACAGTCACCAGATCTCAATCCAATTGAGCACCTTTGGGATGTGTTGGAAAGTAAGATTTGCATCATGGATGTGAAGCCGACAAATCTGCAGCAACTGCGTGTTGCTATCATGTCAATATGGACTAAATTCTGAGGATTATTTCCAGAACCTTATTGAATCTATGCCATGAAGGATCAAGGCAATTCTGAAGGCAAAAAAAGGGTGTAACCCAGTACTAGGAAGGTGTACCTAATAAAATGGCCGGTGAGTGTACATGTGTGTGTGTGTGTGTGTGTGTATATATATATATATATATATGTGTGTAACTGCACTGTATATATATATATATATATATATATATATATATATATATATATATATATATATATATATGTAACTGTAACTTCTATATTATTTTACAGGTTTGGACACTCTGGCTTGTTAATCCTAAAATAGACAAACTGAGAATTTTTTTTTTTTTTTGGGTGTGATCGGTCATCAACACTTACAGTCTGTGGATTCATCTTTCCAGTCATGAGGTCGAGCAGGTCCGAGTCAGCCATAGCAATAGTGCAGTCTGCTTTCTTATCTAAGAGAGACACAAACAGAAACCCATTAACGAGAACCAGAGCTATAAATAAACAACAAAGAGCCTAACACTAGCTGTGTTTCTTTGGTTTGGTTTCTTTATCTCTTGTTACATAACGAATGAGAATCCAGCACGCGTGAGCAGCTTTGAAACTGGTCATTAGGCTGAAACACACACTCGCTGGCTTTCATTTGCTCTCATCCTACACACAAATCCCACTCATACACACACACACACACACACACACACACACACACACACACACACACACACACACACACACACACACACACACAAACACACACACACACGTGAATACCCACAGTTTCTGCCATCACACACCCACACATCATTAAAAGTAGACGAGAAGAGCAGGAAGAGCACAAACTCTTCACTTATGGAAAAACGACACATGACGCTTCACCATCAGTCATATGCAGTTGCAGTCACTCTTGTTCGCTCTGCTGTGAATTTCTAGTTTCTTTTATTAAATATTTCCCAAATGATGTTTACAGAGGATTTTTCACAGTATTTCCTATAATATTTTTCCTTCTGCTTCTGGAGAAAGTCTTATTGGTTTTATTTTGTTTTTAACTTTTAAAACCATTTTAAGGTCAATATTATTAGCCCCCTTAGGCATTATTTGTTTTAGATTGTCTACAGAGCAAACCATCATTATACAATGACTTGCCTGATTACCCTAACCTGCCTAATTAACCTAGTTAAGCCTTTAATTATCACTTTAAGCTGTATAGAAGTGTCTTGAAAATATCTAGTCAAATATTATTTACCGTCATCATGGCAAAGATAAAATAAATCAGTTATTAGAGATGAGTTATTAAAAGTATTCTGTTTAGAAATGTGTTGAAGAAAAATTCAACACACATTCAACACAACAGAAATTGGGGGCTGCTAAAAAATTCAGCAGGGCTAATAATTCAGAGTTCAAATGTATACACGCTAGAGATGTGTGGATGGCGGTTACAGCCGCGGAATCCGCGGATAAACCGCGGATCGGGCGGATGACGTGACGAAAAATACAATTTTAATTAAATTCGGGCGGGTGGTGGGCGGTTGTACTGTTTTTGTACACATAGCTGGCGAACCAACGAAAAAGCCTAGAACCGACTTCACAGAATGAGAGGAGGAATCGGATACACTAATTCTGGATGAAGTACAGAAGTCTTCCTTTACAAACTTCCGTATAGACGGATCAGCAGAGGAAAATCTACTTTCCTTTTAGGAGAAACAAGGCCAGTCATTCCCACGTCTACAGCACCTTGCCAAGAGAATTCTATGCATTCCAGCAACAAGCGCTGCGAGCGAGCGCTCCTTCAGTGCAGCAGGGCGCATTGAGGCCAGGCGCTCTCATCTGAATGTTGAAATTATGTGTCAAAATGCGTTTTCTATTAGGCTACAATAATAAAAAAAAAATGTACAGTACAGTGCGTTTAATTTAGGCTATTTATTTATTTTTGTCCCTGTGCGCCAATTGGAGACGGAGTTCACTGCTGATATTCTGAGAGCTTTATGCTTCTCATTTCTTATTTGTGTATCCTCGTTTCCTTTCCTTGCTTTCTTTCTTCGTCTTTCCACCCCTATAGGATGCGAGGGAAGGACGCAAGGAAAAGACTCAAGGACCGAGGAATTGAATCAAGTGAAACGACACGTCCTCGTATTGTTTAGCGTCACTTCAAAGCGTCAATTAATGCTGGATTTGACTTGCACGTTTGAATTAACTGCATGTCATTAAAGTCATTCTCTATTTTCTAATAATTAATAAAGAAACATTCATTTAATAGTGAAAAGGAATAAGCCATTCAAATAAAGAGCTCAGTCAGCAGATGGCGGGCGGGTGCGGTTTTAAAATTTGGTCAAAAATGTTAGTGCGGATGGATGGCGGACGGAGGATGAGTTTTGTGATGCGGTTGCGGATGAAATAATAGCCCATCCGCGCATCTCTAATACACGCAGACACTCTCTGACAAGTGAAGAGTTTGGGGTGGGGGGGCGTTGTAGTCGCGGACTAAATTGAAGACTGTGTGGTGGGGGTGGTGTGGTTATGGTAGTCGCAGATGTAAGTGGAAACTAGGGTGGGGGGTTGTCGCAGATGAAAGAGAAGAGCGTAAGGTTGGGGGGTTGGACGACATGGACAAAATTTAAGGCGGGAGAGGGGTTGTGGACAAAAGTGAAGACCCGGGAGTGGGTGGGGGGGGTGATTGCTGTTGGGGATGAAAGAGAAGAGTGGAAGGTCGGGTGGTTGGTTGGAGGACATGGAGAAGGGAGGGGGGTGTCTGAGAAGAGAAAGAGAAGAGTTGGAACTGCACGGATGAAAGCAGGGAAGATGGTTGGGGGGTGGTTTAGGGTCGCAGATGAATGTGATGAGGGGGGGGTTTGGGACGAAAGTGAAGAGTTGGTGGGTTGTAGGCCCTAGAATGTCTTTGGGGACCCCTAAAATGAGACTCTGATTGGTTTATTCTCAAAACACACCTATAACTAATTAAGAAAATAAACTTAACCCTTTTAGACCATGTGCACGGCGCAAAGCGGATTTTTCCATCCTTATATTAACAAAAACTGGATTCTGACACGCCCTGAATGCGTTTGTGCCCTGCGCTTTGCACTTCAGCTTTATTTGTATAGCGCTTTTACAATGTTGATTGTGTCAAAGCAGCTTCACATAAATGGTCATAGTAACTGGAACAGTGTGGTTCAGGTTTTAGTGTTTAAGTTCAGTTCAGTTTAGCTCAGTTCAGTGTGATTTAATCATTACTGAGAGTTCAAACACTGAAGAGCAAATTCATCGATGCGTAGCTCTACCAATCCTGAACCATGCGAGGCAGTGGCGACCACGGAGAGGGAAAAAACCTTCCCCTGATGGGAGTGAAGAAAAAAAACCTTGAGAGAACCAGACTCAGTTGGGCACGACCATTTTAATTTCTCCGCTGGCCAAAAGTCTTGTGCAGAGCTTCATTCGCCGTGGTTTAGGCTGGAAGGACTGTCAAAATAGAGCCCTGAGTGTGTAACATTTGTTTCTTTTTTTGTTTTTTTTAATAAAAAGTCTTAAAATATAAAAAATATTTTTAAAAAAACATTCCATAATATAAAGAAGTTGTCATTTAATAAGAATGTGTCAATAACTCTATTTTGACAAAAACGTCATTGCGATTTTCACAAAGAGATGAAAATGTCAAATTATGTCTGCAGAAGATCAGGATCCTCTCCTTCAACCTCAGACCACTACAAACAGCCGATTTCACTTAAAATAACCACACATGACCTAGAAGAGTCCAGCTGAGACACCCATGAGTAGGAAATGTCAGCAGTTTGCAGATCAATACTGTCTGCACTGCACACACACACACTCACCACTGTCATTGTGCATCACACACACACCGCTGTCATTGTGAAGTCTGTTCTGACACACACACACTCACCGCTGTCATTGTGAACGGAGCCTTTTCCATTCTTTACATCCACAATCCAGACGGCTTCCTTTCCCTCCGGCCCGTCCTTCACTTTAAAGGCAAACACACCTCCAATCTTCTTCACAAATTGCTCTCCGTCCTGCACACACACACACACATACACATATGCATAAACCTATTCACATAGAGACACACAGTAGCGTGCGCATCCATACATAGATGTGCACACACACAGAGACATGTGCAAACAAACATAGATACACGCACACACACATGAACACATTGACGTATATGGACGCACACACAGAACACAATGGCTCACAATAGAAGGAATATTTTACATAATAAAAGGAGTTTTTGTTGTAACAAACACCTGAAACTTCTATTTTAGAAACGGCTCTGTCACAGCCGAACAACAGAAAACTGAATAAAGCACATGAGGTGCACCTGAGGTGATCATTGTCAGTGGTAAATGCTAGAGGTGTGAACTTATACTGGTCTCACTGTTCGGTTATGATTATCATGCCATCGATTCGGTTCAATTCGATATCTCGGTGCATCACGGTGCATTGACGATGCTTTCCATAGACAGTGTTATATTTTTTGGGGAGGCTATAACAAGCTGTCTGTATAACACACAGACACACAGCACCACACTGTCTCTCATTTACACACATACACAAACATAGACAGCACCAAACAAACAAACAAACAAACAAACAAACAAACAAACAAACAAACATTCACACACACACACATTTAAGCCCTCGCAATATAAATAAATAAATAAATAAATAAAAATATAAATAAAAAATAATATAAATATAAATATATATTTTTTTATTTAAAATAAAAAAAAAATAAATAAAAAGAAGCACTTTTACAACGGTCCCTTACTGAGAGCTTTGCTCAGCGCGAGCTCTCCCGGCTAAACGCATATTGCGAGGGCTTAAACGGAGCAGTGGTCGTAATGTTAAGCAAAAAAAAAAAAAAAAAGCTGTGAAACATAACCAGCTTTGTCTTTTTGTAGAAAACACACTTTACATCTTTTTAGGGTAAGAGGTTTTTGAGTTATTGCTATCCATCACTGAATGTATTAGGGATATTGAAAACAAAACCAACTTAAGCATGCTCAATTCTGGCGCCCCCTGGACGTACAGCATCCTTAGCATTTGCCTATACTGCCTATGCCACAGGCCGGCCCTGAGTTGGCTCCTGGAGTGTTGTAAATACTAGCACTCACCTCCCTCGCGACAGAGCCCATATGAGATAAATGACGTCAGTACATAATAACCGGTTATGATTATTACTGAACCATTACCGAATTGTTCACGTCTGCATCGCGGTGCACCGAAGAAACAATTAATTTTGACACCCCTAGTAAATGCTAATAGTGTGAGTTTTAAAGCCATTTGACAGGATATTTATTGCCATACTACTGAAAGCAGCAGCAGATAGTTCATCTCAGATCTTTAAAATAAAATAAATCCGTTTGAAATTGAACACTGTCACTCATGTTAAAGAGGTTTAATATGTATTAAGTAGATTATAAACCTTACCATTTCGTTGGAGTGCAGTGAGTGCACTATTCTGTGCTTCTGATTGGCTGTATTTACATTTCTGTCGTGTTTCGTCTGGTGCAAACCGCCAAATTGCTTATCACTGCGCATCTCTTCATGTAGCGTGTTGTCATGACACTGGCTACAATGTAACCTGCTCATTTAATGTTTACATTCGTAATATTTATATTAGTTGCTACTTAATAACCACCTCATGTGGAACTCTGAATCTGCATCTCATTTCGGAGTCTGCAACTGTCCACCCGAGGTCGCATTTCGTTCACGGATGCATGGTTTCAGAGCCTTTATGACTGAATAAATTAAATATGCTGTCCACCAAGGCAACCCAGGGTGCTAAAATATAATTGGCTAAACTGGCATTGGGCGGGTTAAATGACCAAAACAAAGACAGCCGTTCCGGCACGTAACACACATTTTTAAAGCAGAATATCTGACTTCAGCACTGTTTTTCAGATAAACGAGTATATTCGCTTGGCATGTTTCTTAAATATCTGCAAACATATTATGTTATTTTTATACTTTAGAAGAGTCAAAAACGTCATTACAGCACCTTTAAACTAAAGTGTTGCAGTTTTTTTGTTCCTATATGAATATCAATGGCTGCTGGTTTCCATCATTCTTCAGAATATCTGTGAATTCTTTGATGAATAGAAGAGAATTGATTTGAAACTGAACATTTTTGTGACGTTATAAAAGTCTTTACTTCTGCTTTTGATCAATGCGATGCATTCTTCCTGAAGAAAAGCAATCATTTCTTACTGACCTTCAACTACTGAACTCGTGTCATGATTTCCACACAAATATGAAGCAGCACGACGGTTTTCAAATTCAGCTTCGCTTCACTGGAACGAACTGATTTTATAATGTATTCACAAATAAAATTTGGGATTTTGGGTAAAATTGTAATATTATTTCACAATATTACTGTTAGGGTGATGCGGTGGCGCAGTAGGTAGTGCTGTTGCCTCACAGCCAGAAGGTGGCTGGTTTGAGCCCCAGCTGGGTCAATTGGTGTCTCTGTGTGGAGTTTGCATGTTATCCACACATTTGCATGGGTTTCCTCTAGGTGCTCCGGTTTCCCCCATAGTCCAAAGACATGCGGTAAAGGTGAATTAGGCTAAATTGTCAGTAGTGTATGTGTGTGAATGAGTGTGTATGGATGTTTCCCAGACATGGGTTGCAGCTGGAAGGGCATCTGCTGCGTAAAACATGTGCTGGATAAGTTGGCGATTCATTCCGCTGTGGCGAACCCAGATTAATAAAGACAGATACATTCCCATCACGAACATTTCATAGAAAGTAAAACAGCACATAAAACGACATCATCTAGAAAAGGCCAAGGGATTCGGTTTTACTGAAATGACGATCCTTTCAGCACCCAGTAACTTTGTAGTCTGCATTAAAACCAGCCAGAGCCCAGAAGCAGATCTGAAACCTGACAGAGGATCATTGCTGACATGATTAAAGGTGGATAATAACATTAATTCAGATCCATCCCAACATCTCCTCCGGGCTTAAGAGTTTTAGCAGTACAACCTACGAATTCAGATGAAGCGAGCGGCTCGTACCTCTTGCAGCTTTTTATTGATCTCCTGGAAGACGGCGTGAGCTTTGAAGCCCTCTAGACCCGCAGATGCGCTGGTCAACACCGCCTGGACCCGTGCAGAGCTGGAATCAACCAACATCAAAGAGAAAGTCAGAAAATGGGGATTGAAGAATAACACACTTAAAAAAGGACAGTTCGCCCGAAACTGGAAAACTGAAAGTGCTGTTTGGTTGTTTTCATTTACTCTGGGGAGATTTTGAGTCTTAATTTGGCAACAACTTTCTCAGTATTTCAGCAAATAGAATGATTTTTAGTGACAAATCTTATTTCAACACCTATGTTAGGAAAATGCTTTTAAAAATATTTTAAATCTCAATAATACACTCTGAAAAAATAAATTACTACCCTTTCGTTATGTTTTTGACCTATTGACTCCCACTATAATGACATTTTTTGATTGCAAAGCCGTGACATCAAATTATTATGTATTCTTAATTTTTGCTGGCTTTGTTTGGCTATTTTACCCAACATTCTTTAAAATATCTTTTTTTGTGTGCACCAGAAGAAACAGGTTTGAAATAAGTGAAGGTTGAGTGAGTAAATGATGACAGAATTATAATTTTATCTGAGAACTGCCCCTTTAATACACTGTGATTAACAGGAGATGGGTTGATTATCAGTTTAAGGGTTCCCTTAAGCCTAGTTCACACTACATGATTTTAAACATCAGCAGATCGCTGTGCCGTTTACACTACATGACCTGACTTTGTGTCTTTTAATCTCTGTGGTGTTCACACTACGCAACACTCCGTGAACGATCCACAAGAGGGGGGTCACACACTACATGATCTGACAACAACTCATTCCCCATCAGCTCATTCAAGCTACCAAACCACAGCCAATGAAAATTTGAGGGAGGAGTCGTCAGAAAAAGCTGAACACTATTGGCTGCTTGTGTGCGGATTACATCACTGACAGCGTTTCAAGCTTGGGAGAAAGCATTTAAAAACATCGTCAAATCAGCTGATTTACCAGCGGATTAATCACTCATCTGCAGGTTCCAGTGGATAGATACACAGAGAGTTTTTAATTTTTGTAATTTTATAACTCTTTGAAATAAAACTAACATAACTAACTTTCTAACTATTAGTGTATTTCTTTCTGACATTGTTATTTTTTTATTACAAAACAGTAAAGAACTGAGCATTTCTGCCTTAAATTACCATATTGGTCAAAATGACTGCAAGCATGTCTCATACTTTTCACTGTGACTTTAAATATGTGTGCATTTTCTTGCCTAGCAACTTCCTGCTAACATAAACAAAACTTTCTGATGGCAAAAACATCAATTTACTTTAGATATCTTTCAAAACAGCATATTCTGTGCTGTGAAATAGCTCCTGTTTGAAAGTGAAAATGAAAGCCAAGAACTTTAAGTGTTTTAGTATCTTAACTACGTATTTATAGGCTGTATTACAAAAAAAAAAGATTATATTTTTAGGGTAATGGTGTCATTAAATATGATGTCAGACATTCAAAGCTTAATTTTAATATCTCAATAATAGCTTTGAATGTAAATATGTTGTGACAATATGGCGTTTTATTTAAGAACCGTCAGAATGAGTAGTATGGTAATTCTAATAGTTACAGAATTCTAGTTCCACTGTTAATATATCCTCCTCTCATGTCTGTGCTAACGCAGAATGAAGCGAGTGCACTGATGCCCATTCTGACCAATCACAGATGTTTCTGCTGAGCTCCTGAACACACAGGCATTCAGCTCATGCTGATGTGCTCTTTCATTGGCTGCAGCTCGTCACTACATCTGACCACACGTGGGGTTGAGTCGGCCGACTGCTCTGGAATATTCAGCATGCTATTCAGCATACAGATGAACGGACGGATGGATGGACAGAAAGACAGACAGACAGACAGACAGTCATAGATAGGCGGACGGACGGACACAAAGACGGACAGATAGCACGGAGGACAGACGGACGGACAGGTAGGTAGGTAGACAGACAGACAGACTAAGAGAAAGAAAGACAGATAAAGAGAAGGAAAGACAGACAGATAAAGAGAAAGAAAGACAGATAGATTGAAATGGATGGAATGACGGACGGCCACACAGACGAACGAACGGACGGATGGACAGTCAGACAGTCATAGATAGACGGATGGACGGACGGACTCACGGACAGATAGATAGCACGGACGGACGGACAGACAGATAGGTAGGTAGGTAGGTAGGTAGGTAGGTAGACAGACAAAGAGAAAGAAAGACAGATAGATAGAAATAGATGGATGGATGGATGGATGGATGGACGGACGAACTGATGGACAGACAGACAGTCATAGATAGACAGACAGACGGACGGACGGATGGACGGACGGACGGACGGACGGACAGGTGGACAGACAGACAGACAGACAGACAGACAGCATGGACGGACAGGTAGGTAGGTAGACAGACAGACAGACAGACAAAGAGAAAGAAAGACAGACAGATAAAGAGAAAGACAGAAAGATAGCAATAGATGGATGGATGGATGAACAGCCGCACAGACGAATGGACTGTCATAGACAGTCATAGATAGACGGACGGACGGACGGACGGACGGACGGACGGACGGACAGACGGACAGACAGACAGACAGATAGATAGGCAAAAAGACAGACAGAGAAGTTGTTTATGATCCTATATATGCAGATGATCAAATAACATTTGCTTGAACATGCGCTTACATTTAAATAAGTGACCAATTTCAGCCGTATTTTGATTGAACTAAACTTCATTAAAATAATTTGTTTGCATAATTTTTGAGCAATAAACTAATAAGTTACCTTGATTCCTTCATGCTTAAAAATCGAACCGCATTTTTACAGTGTAGAAATACATGATTTTCTTTGTTTTGGTGCACAGTAGTTTATAACAACAATAATCATAAATGACCTTAATGAAAACATACTAAAACCACCACCCAAATCCTTCATTGTGATTTCAGGAGGACATTACAAGCAACTTTGCTGAGTCTGACCATAAAACATATTTGAATCCAATCAGCCTCATATCCTAATATCTTTCCCTAACAGCTGTCAGAAACACATCCAGACCTCATATATTGCAATCAAAAACGAACAACGGGGCTGATTTAAGTTCAGGACAAGAATTTAAGTGCAGGAAGACATCCAGACACAAAGATCTCTTGATGAACTGGTCACATGTGGAGTTACTCACAGACTTCCTCAGAACAAGAAGATGAAGAAGAAAATAAACCCTCACATCAGGCAGATAAAAAACTGTTACAGCTACACAAATTATTTATCTAGGATATCAAGGTCAACTGGAGTGAGCTTTTGAGATGTTTCCTCATCGACGCCAAAAATATAAATGGATTTATTTAAACTCATAAAACACTGAAAATAATTAAAAACTTCAAACTTCAACTTAATTAAAAACTAAATGAAAACACATTTAATTAAATATCGAGTACAGCTTTTGTTAGCTTTTATGCTTTTTTAATTGCCTCATTTAAATTAAATTAGTTTAGTCTTTTACGTTTCTCATTTTTTGTAAATACATTCAACATTTTATCTTAGAAGAGAAGTCCCATTTTGATGTTACAAAAGTTAATTTTATTTTCAAAGAAAACATACTATATAAGTATAGTGTCTAGTAGTGTAAAACAAAATAAAAAATGCAGGTAAATTAGAATGTAAAATGAATGTAAAACTGGAAGAACTTAATTGACATAATAAATATTAATATTTATATTGGGTTGCGAAGGGAAGGGCATCCGCTGCGTAAAAACGTGCTGGATAAGTTGGCGGTTCAATCCGCTATGACGACCCCGGATTAATACAGGGACTAAGGCGAAAAGAAAATGAATGAATGAATATATATATATATATATATATATATATATATATATATATATATATATATATATATATATATATATATATATATATATATATATCAGTTGAATAAAAATATACTGTAAAATATTCAGTACTGTGAATAATTCACTGTTACTACTACTGTTGCTTATAACTCTAAATGTAGAAATCTAACATTATCATTTGTACAACCCATATTTATTTTTTCGATAAATGATTCAGTTATTCACTCATAAAACTTGTTTCATTGCTAGATGATCATTTTTAAAAGCACATGATGGTGATTTTAATCTTTAACATAAACGTCAGTATTTTTATCAAAGCTATAGACTGCTATCCCGGTACTTCTGCGTTATTTGACTGTCTGTAACTTCATAAGTAACTCAAACCATTTATCAAACACAGATTTGAATTCAGCAATTTGAAAGATTAATAAACATTTGCAAATCACCGTCATTTATTATTTATGTTGCGTGGGTGTTGAGATCCTGATCTTTAAATGATTAACCATGCAGCTTACACTGAATGCACAAATGCAGGCTAAACAAGTAGACAGACAGACAGAGAGACAGACAGACGAAACAAATTAATGGATGAAGAGAAAGAAAAATAGATAATAGATGAAGAAACAGACAGACAGACAGACAGATATGAATGGATGAAGGGACAGACAGACAGACAGACAGACAGACAGACAGACAGACAGACAGACAGACAGATAGATAGATAGATAGATAGATAGATAGATAGATAGATAGATAGATAGATAGATAGATAGAAAGAAAATAAAGATGAATGGATGAAGAAAGATATAAGAACAATCATCTAAAACAATCTAAATAATTCATGTATAATCAAATGGGAAGCAGAAATACTCTAATGAATGAGTCCCGCATGTAAATGACCTCCATCTGCTGCTGCTGTCACACACTCAGCTCTGAGTCTCCAAACACGCGCTATGATCATCAACACACAATGAATGTAAACACATATCCGATCATCATCATTCTCACCTGGACACCTGCGGGACGCGCATTATTCCTGTATGTGAGCGGCAGACAGAGAGAGAGAGACAGACAGAAAGACAGACAGAGAGTCAGACAGGTGATCTGCAGGCCAACAATCAGCAGGACATTTGTATCTGAAAGCTACTTCCGGATTCCGCAGCCGTGAGTCAGACCTAAACAATCAAACTCCGATCGAACAGCAAAGTTCACAGTTTCCATACGCAATTGCTTTTCACCATTTGAATCTTCTGGTAATAAACAGCTGGGTTGACGCAGGTTGGAAATAAATTCTGCAGGACACTGGGTCCCTCAGGAGGGTTGAAGATGGGTTAAATAGCTACTACACATTTAGAAAGCTACATAATCTGTCACTGGGCCATTACCTTTTCAAAAGGTAAACTATTGTACCATACAGGTGAATATTGGTTGTACCATACAGGTGAATATTGGTATCTTAGGGGTACACTTTTTACTTTTAAGGCTCATTTTTGTATCTTTAAGGTACTATGAGGTGCACCTTTGAAATTTTAGGTATTAGTATTTACATTGGGGGTGACACGATGGCTCAGTGATTAACACTGTCGCCTCACAGCAAGAAGGCTGCTGGTTCGAGTCCTGGTGTTCTGTTGATTTCTCCTACCTTGTCAGATTGCTCTACCATCCATTCAAAAAGGATGCTACCCATCAGATTTTGCTACCAGTGTAAATTTTAATGTGGAGTAGTGTGATATGAAACTGTAATATCACCATAGCCTACCTGATCCCTAACCCCAACCTCAGAACCATTCAAATACAGTGTTGGTAGCATAATCTGATGGGTAGAGTAAAATGTCAGGACACCAGTTGGTATTTCTGTGTGGAGTTTGCATGTTCTCCCTGTGTTGCTGTGGGTTTCCTCTGGGTGCTCTGGCTTCCCCCACAGTAAAACTGTGCAGAGCCCTTAGGAATGCATTTTGAGACCTATGCTTTAAGGCAGGGATCACCAAACTTGTTCCTGGAGGTCCGGCGTCCTGCAGATTTTAGCTCCAACCCTAATCAAACACACCTGAATAAGCTAATCAAGGTCTTTCTAGGTATTCTTGCCTCAACACACATGCCTGGATGTTTCAAGTTGGAGCTTAACCCTGCAGAGCACCGGACCTCTAGGAACGAGATTGGTGACCCCTCCTTTAAGGGTTTAGAGTAGACACCATCAATCAAAGTATAAGGCACAGGCCTCAAAGTTTTGCTCCAACCAAACACAGCTGATCCTAATAATCAAGGTGATCAAGAATACTAGAGACTGTTGAGCAAGTGTGAGTTGGAGGTGGTTAAAGCTAAACTATGCAGAGCTGCGACCCTCCAGGAATTGAGTTTGAGACCACTGGTATAAGGCATGGGTCTCAAACTCAATTCCTAAAGCGCCACAGCTCTGCACAGTTTTGCTCCAACCCTAATCAAACACAGTTGATCCAACTAATGAAGTTTTATAAAAGAGTCTAGAACACTTTGGCTGCGTCCGAAACCGCATACTTCCATACTATATAGTACGCTAAATTCAGTATGCGAGCCGAATAGTATGTCCGAATTCATAGAATTCGAAAATCAGTATGCGAAAAGTACCCGGGTGACTTACTACTTCCGGCGAGATTCTGGAGTGCACATCCCATGCATGCTGTGCTGTCCCATGATGCCCCGCGAGCGAATTCATTAATGGGAGTAAAGCGACGCAATTGACGCAGGTAGGTCACGTGACCATGACAAAATGACAGATGTAGTACGTCCGAATTCCATTCATACTTTTCACATTTATACTTTATAGAACATACTTTTCTAACGGCCGAGTAGTAGGTTTAAATTCAAATGCAGTACCTACTGAGTAGTGAAGTGGATTTTATACTCTTTAAAGTGTGAAGTTAATCTATATATTCAAATTATATGTGTATAATCTGCTTGTAGACTTGGATACCATTGGAAGAATTACCATATCACAAGAACTGGATAAGTTATATAGTTACCAGGTTTGGGTCAGGGGTTAACCTAGGTGGAAATTGAGGTCAGGGGTTAACCTAGGTGGAATTTGTGTGACATATGTAGAAATAAGGGAAAAACAGATGACAGAGGTGGAATTTGGAGTCAAGGGTTAAACTAGGAGGGATCTTGTGTGACTTATGTACAACAAAGGAAAAAACAGAGTATTTAAGCAGGCTAGAATTTGAGTGAGACAGAATTTTTCAGACAGAGATGCTACTGGGGGTCTCCTGAAAATTCTCCTATGTTGTCGACAATAAAGTATATTCTTCTAATATTCATAACCTCCAGACTGAGTTTGAATTAGTAAGAGAAAAACCAAGAAAACCACGACAGTAGTAGGTGGTTTTTGCATTTGTTGGATCAGCTGTGTTTGATTCAGGTTGGAGCAAAACTGCAGAGCTGCGGCCCTTTAGGAATTGAGTTTAAGACCCATGCTATAAGGGATTATTCATCAATATTATCCTTCAGTTTTGAGAAGAAGAAGATCATGATGATGAACATCATGCTGGCTATGTCGGTCCAGCAGAATAAAAAGAAAAAATTAAAAACAAATAAACTAGAATAATCTTTGCCTGACAATGTGAATCCGATTTCAGACCAATATTATCCTATTTTTTAATTATTTTTTTTAAGAGAGAGAGGGAGAGCTGGGAGGCTGTTATAACACCCAACATGCAGATCTCATTAGACTAATGGATAGAGTGCACTGTCACCCTTTAAACTCTGGCCTGTGGACACTGCACTGTCCATTCACAGAGAGAGAGAAACAGAGACTGGCTGAAATCAGGCATGCAAACACTGCTCCAATGTCTGCAGCTTTTAAGATGTTGGTTACTCAATTTCATTCATTTTCTCTTCGGCTTAGTCCCTTTATAAATCGGGGTCGCCACAGCGGAATGAACCACCAACTTATCCAGCATATGTTTTACACAGCGGATGCCCTTCCAGCTGCAGCCCAACATTGGGAAACACCCAGACACTCTCACATCCACACACACTCATACACTACGGCCAATTTAGTTTGTCCAGTTCACCTATAGCGCATGTATTTGGACTGTGGGGGAAACCGGAGCACCTGGAGGAAACCCACGTCAACACAGGGCAGCATGCCAACTCTATACATGGAAACGCCAACTGGCCCAGCCAGGATTCAAACCAGCGACCTTCTTGCTGAGCCACCGTGCCACCCATAATTACAGATGTTTCATTTTTTGATGAACTGTATGTTGTTTCAAGATCAAAATGGTCTCTAGTTCTCTAATTGTAGAGAAAAAAGAAAATAAACCAATAAAAAGTAACAAAAAAACTTGATTAAAAATATGTCAAACATTTTCGTAATAAAAAAACTGAATTCTATTTATTTTAAATAAAGCTTAAATACATATAAATAAAGCTCTAGTATTTAGGCTTGCAATTAAATGTTTATATAATAATTATCAGTATGAAAATGTGTCATTTTCATACCTGTCACAGTAGTTGTTATGTATGTTGTTATGTATTCTTTGACTACTCTGTTCAGAATAAAAGGAGAATTTACCTTCAAACATGTCATATTTCATATGACTTATAATTTTATACGATTCAATATAATTCAATTTAATCAGTCTTAGAAAATTTTTGGCAAGTAAAGAATAATTAAATGATTACAACTTTCATTTTAAGGCAAACTTTTTTTTTTTTGCAAAAAAATAGTTGACAAGTTTGTAGCAATATTTATTTACAATACATAATATGAATTACATTGTCAATGAAAAAGAGATACGAGAGAGAAAGACAGAAGAAAAAAATAAAACAACATGATATAAACTTAAACGTAAGACATTTAAGAATTAAGAACAGTACATCAATTAAAGTCATTACAAAATAAAATAGTTCTGTTTGCTTTCTTATTTGTAGATAATGAAATTAATTGTATATAATGACTAAATTCTTGCAAAAAAAAAAAAACAGGAAAATATGATTTAGTATTTATAAATTTGCATTTGTGGATATGGAATTTGCAAAGAAAATAAATTAAATTTATAACATAACAGCATTTCTCTTAGTAGAGGCAGATTCATAATAACCAAAAATAATTTCTTTAAAAGTAACTAAAACATCTTGTTGTATATTATCATCAATAAATGAGCCAATATGTTTCCAAAATTGAACAGCATAATCACACTCCCAAAATAAATGAAAAACAGTTTCAGTATGCAATTGACAAAATGAACAGTACATCCATATTAGAATGAAACTTTTTTTAAAATTGTTTTGTAGGTTAAAATTTGTTGATCAGTTTAAAAGCCACTGCTTTGACCATGTTGGTGAGAAAATATTTTTGTTGCAAAGACCATATTTTTCCCCATAACAAATCTCTCTATATATTATTCCAATAAGAGATTAGGGCAAACTATCAGACCGAGTCGACTTAAGAGATTGTGACATCATCAGGATGGTCCTCTGCTGCCATCTGCTAGCCATTACAAGCAGTCACAGCCATCCACTTACATTTCAAACATGGGAGTACCGGTGCATTATTTATTTGGCCTACTTCTGTCATGGATGCAGGTCCTAAGCACTATTAAAACTGAGAGAAGCATCCCTGCCATAAAATGCACCCCTTTCATAGACTTTCATAAGAGTTCTACATTAAAAAACAAACAAAGGCCATTATTGATTAAAACGTAATATGATCATTATTTTTCGCATCACGGTGGCTCAGTGGGTAGCACAATTGCCTTACAGCAATAAGGTCGCTGGTTTGAGCCTTGGCTGGGTCAGCTGGCATTTCTCTGTGGAGTTTCCATGTTCTCCCCGTGTTCACGTGGGTTTTCTCTGGGTTGCTCCGGTTTCCCTTACAAATCCAAGGACTTGGTATGGGGGAGTTATAAGCTAAATTGTTTGTAGTGTATGAGCGTATGGATGTTTCCCAGTGATGTATTGCAGCTGGAAGGGCATCTGCTGCATCAAACATATGCCGGAATAGTTGACAGTTCATTCTGCTGTGGCGACCCCTGATTAATAAAGAGACTAAGCCGGAAAAAAATGAATGAATGATCATTATTTTGTTGGACAAAGCATTTTAAAACACACTACGTCCCTTTATTAATCAGGAGTCACCACAGCAGAATGAACCGCCAACTTATCCAGCATGTTTTAAGCAGCAAATGCCCTTCCAGCCACAACCCAGCACTGGGAAAGACCCATACCCTCCCATTCACACACATACACTACGGACAATTTAGTTTATTTAATTCACCTATAGCGCATGTCTTTGGACTGTGGGGGAAACCGGAGCACCCGGAGAAAACCCACGCCAACAAGGGGGTATATAAAACCATAAAAAGGAAGACAAAAATTAAATGCAAAAAATAAGTAAATAAATAAACTAATTAACACAAATACAGCAAGAGGAATGGAGGGCTTACGTATCCGTGATATTGTCTAAATAATTATATACTACAAAAATCTATCACTTTTCTTGTTTTAACCAATTGAAGAGATTTAATAAATACATCAATTTCAGTTTTAAAATGTGAAAAGGAAGGCTGCGAATTTGAGAATTTTTGTTCGTGAATAATTCCCCTACAAAATAAAGAAATTAATAATATAGTTCTCTGGTATATTAGTTTTACCTTCATATTACAATGAATATCTTGTATTTGAAAGGGACTGGAAGAAATAATGTAATTATCTATATGAAGATATTCATTCATTAATTTTTCTTCGGCTTTATTGATCAGGGGTTGCCACAGTGGAATTAACCGCCAACTATTTCAGCATATGTTTTACACAGCGGATGCCCTTCCAGCTGCAACCCAGTACTGGGCAACATCCATGTACTCCTTCACTATGGTGAGTTTAGTGTATTCAATTCACCTATAGTGCATGTGTTTGGACTGTGGGGAAAACCGGAGCACCCGGAGGAAACCCACGCCAACACAAGGAGAACATGCAAACTCCACACAAAAACTGATAAACTGACCAAGCCGGGATTCAAACCAGCGACCTTCTTGCTGTGAGGCGACAGCGCTACTCACTGAGCCGCCATACCGCCCCATGCTGAATTTAGTAAATTAATTTTGGTGTAATACTACATGGAATTGTTATTTTTCTTTTATTTGCCATGTTTTTGTTCAGCCTTTAATGTTAATATTCCACAAGGTAAACTAAACAAAAAATAGTAATAGCAAAAAGCAGTCCAAGGCACTCGAAAAATTTGAAAAAAATATATAAATAAAGTATTAATAAAGGCTTTTTAATGTTATTCCACATATTTTGAGTGCCTTGGGACTGATTTTTGCTTCTTTTTCTTATGAATTCCTTCCCAAAAGAGCTCCGAAACATTATTCAAACTACCTCTGAACACTTTTTGTTTGGTTTTTAAAATAATAATTATTGTAAAACTCGTGAATAGCTATGCAAATTAAGATTTCAACGGATTAAATATTGTATTGGGTGGTTCATTCTGCTGTGGCGACCCCAGATTAATAAAGGGACTAAGCCGTTTTGACAATTTGATCCGCTAAACTATACTCGATTAATCACTCCTGACTCCCGCAGGGTCCGTGTATCATCCGTTCATTTGATTATTCCTTTTATTACGGAAAACGAAACATCAGAAAAACGATGAATATTTCGTTTTTCTGTTTATTCTGTAGGCAGAAAAAACGGAAACTCATCTGTTATTCTGCTTATTAACTTAAAACGAAATATTAAAACAAACACAAAACCAAAACGAAATAATGAGTCAAAAAATGGTCCGTGTACCGTGTTTCGTTTTCCGTAATAAAAGGAATAATCAAATGAACGGATGATACACGGACCCCGCAGACTGTAATCTACCAACTTCCATTTCTGTTGTTTTCCTAACCTCTGTGACGACATCACTGAGCATGCGCAGTGGAGTCAAGACTGTCCAGCGCTTCCTAAACACGGATTCAAACACTTGCGGGTAAAGTTTCGATTAATACACTATACTTTCAGCGTATTTTTAAAATTGCGACTTGGTTTACTCACGTACACAAATATGTGTTGATACTTTTTATATATTATTCCGTAAATATGTGTAAAGCGTAAACGTTAAGCCAGAAGCCCTCCGAGAGCTGTCAGTGAAAATAAATTATTACAATTATTATCAAATAATTGATTAAACTAACAAAATCTACCATATTTATTTGAAATACAAGCGATATAGTTCACATCCTAGTGATCATTCTTTTCACTATTATCAAAATATATGACAATTTCACCATCGTACCACAACAGTGCTGTATTAACCATAACGTTAGACTGTAAAATATGGTATGAACGTAGCAAAATTATGGAGGTAAAGTTGTTTTTGTATTCACATATTCAGACTTTCTCCTTAATTAAAACTAATTCTTTGCTAAATTCTAAATAGTAAAGTCATATAAGCAGCCACCGACTACCAAAGTACGAGTTCACATTTAAATATGGTGCTAATGTTGTTTTGAAGTCATAGGGGAGAGCGAGGCACAAAGTAACACTTTTTGGTTTTGGTCAAATAATGAACAAAGTATTGGGGTTAGACAAACCATTAGTTTTTTCACCAACAAAACACAAGCCTCTCCCACAAATGAGCACTGGAATTATGATCGCTGGACATATGGTTTCTGTGCAGTATTGGCAAAAGTGCCAGGGGTAAAAATGTTACTATTAACCCCATCATGCGAGTTGTAACAGACAGGGGGTTAGTGGTAACACATGCTTAAAAAGGCAGATTACACACAATTTAAATCCAGTTTATTTAAACAGTAGCTATATTTTCTCTTTACCTAGCTCCTTTTTTATTCTACATAGCACATTGTTTATTTATTTATAGGATAAACACATTTAGACTTATTAGGATTATTTTTCATTATTATACAATGCCTTTATTTGCATAATTAGCAATAGAAAAAATAAAAAAAAATCTATTAAAAATCATTTTATTTAAAAAGTGCTCAGCATTACACTCAATTGAAAAATATTGTGTTAGTTTAATTGGTGTCCCACAGTGTGTGGCTTAATTGGAACACCCTGTTACAACTAACACCGCTGTGTCGTGCTTTCCTCAAAACTGGCTAGCAGTCTTTGTGTGTTTCTTACATATTTCAAAATGGTTTCATCTTTTAGCCTAGAAGACGGTAATCACAACAATATAAGATTTTAGGTTCATACTTTCACAGATTTGTTTTTAAATAAAAAAAATATTGAAAATGATAAAAAATACTTTTATGCTGCAAAAATGGTTTCTCCTGTGTTTCTCATCCAAATTTCGCCAAACTTTTTCCATAATTGGCAGGAAGACGTCTGCTGACAGTGAAAACCTCGGAAGCATGGCACGGTTAACCCTGAGCAAATACCTTAAAATTCTGTGTTACATTTAACTTCGTGTTACATTGTGCCCTGCGCTCCCATATAATTTCATACCGAATATCCAAAGTATCATGGTAAACACTATAGGGAGTGTGTCACAAGCTGTAATTAAACGTATGTGCGAATATAAAACCAAATTTACCTCAATAGCAAAATAAGGTTAAATGCAGTGAATAAAACCTTTTTATTTATTTATTTTTATTTATTTATTATTATTTTTTTTTGAGTATTTCAGCATTTATGTAATGGAGTTAACTTTTTAATAAAGGTTCAGCGGTAAAACCACACCTCACTTTGTCTACTTTAAACTTACCATCCCTTTAGCACTGTTCTTCTCGCTCTTTGAACCAACCCTCCCTCCCTACATTTCCTTGCTTCCCATTCACAATCCTATTACTCTCTTCACTCTTACATGTAAGTTGAATTGGGGGGTGCCAATCACTCTGCCAAACTATTACAGAGACAGTCCCCCCACTCTGAGTGTCTGGGCATAGTAGGACGCCCGATCAACCTCCCCACCTGTTTACCAGTCATTATTTTACTCCCCTTCATCCCACTGTTCTCCTTCCATCCCTTCAATCATTCATTCAGTCATTCATTCATTTTCTTGTCGGCTTAGTCCCTTTATTAATCCGGGGTCGCCACAGTGGAATGAACCACCAACTTATCCGGCAAGTTTTTACGCAGCGGATGCCTTTCCAGCCGCAACCCATCTCTGGGAAACATCCACACTCACATTCACACCCACACTCATACACTACGGTCAATTTAGCCTACCCAATTCACCTGTACCGCATGTCTTTGGACTGTGAGGGAAACCGGAGCACCCGGAGGAAACCCACGCGAAGGCAGAGAGAACATGCAAACTCCACACAGAAACGCCAACTGAGCCGAGGTTCGAACCAGCGACCTTCTTGCTGTGAGGCGACTGCACTACCTACTGCGCCACTGCGTTACTGCGTCAATCACTAGAGTAAAATCTAGCTTAAAGTAGGAACGTGTGTAAAAATGTTATAAACGTCACTTATAACATTACTTATTTTGTTATACTTAAATATTTAAATACTTTAAATGTAAAATTGTGCATTAACTTGCACTGTTTTCCCACGCTAACTGTCTCTGTTTCACTGATGCAGTGGTGTTTGCTTTTTAAAGTACATGCTCATATTTGCTATAACTTTGCATGAGCAGATCAAGTTCAGCTGGAGAAAGAAATGCTGATCTCTTTTTTTAAATGTTGCCATGGTCACTCGCAATATCTGCACTCCATTGATAATGCCTTTTTATAGTTGGGTGTGCGCACTTATCTCTGAGTTGGTCTACTCAAAGTTGATTGACCCAACTCAGATCAGCTATTCTGAAACCGAAAACTCTTAAGTTTTTAATCTCTCGGTAAATCAACTCAGAATTCAAGTTTAAACTACAAGTTGGTTGAACCTCTTTACTGAAACAGGCCCCAGGTCAGTCTGAGGTATTAGGCGTGGATAACATACTTAACCACGCCCCTCCAGCTGTCAGTTTTGACAACAAACAGAAATGTTGAGGAGGAGGAGTCTGTTAGGCTGAATTACTCTCCCTAAACTATTTTCCAATCAGCTCACAGCTCACATCCAATCAGCTCACAGTAAAAAAAAACAAGCCACGCCCACTGTTTCCTCATCTAATATTTGGTTTCTCTAGGAACTACATCACAATATAGAAAAAAGGTCGCAGCTTCCGGTTTGTGCAGACTTTAAAAAGGCTGTTGTTTTTGTTTTATAGATGCTGATTGTCAGCTGTCAGATGCTGCATGGCGTCCTCCTCTGAGGTGAACGTCCACATGGAGGAGGTGGTGGTGGTTACGACTCCTGACAACATATCACAGGCTTCATCCCCAAATGAGGAGAAAAATATACTGGTGGCCACAGACCTGGAAGATTCTGAGTGAGCGTTTTAAACCTTTAGAGCTCCCATTAGGGCTGGCCGATATGACAAAAATCTAAAACCCTTATAACTATAAATATCACGCTAGAGTATCATTTATCAATTAATAGTTTAATCCTTGTGTGACAACACAAAATAAACGATAAAGCGTAATGTGAAAGGATGAAGTTTTTATTTTGTCTGTATCAGGGATGTCCTGACTCGGTCATGGAGGGCTGGTGTCCTGCGAAGTTTAGTTCCAACCCCAGTCAGATACAGCTGGCCTAGCTAATCCAGCTCTTACTAGACTTTCTAGAAACATTCTTGCAGGTGTGTTGAAGCAAGTTGGAGCTAAATTCTGCAGGACACCAGCCTTCCAGGACCGAGTTTGGACACCCCTGGTCTATATGATATACAGATGAAGTCAGAATTATTAGCCTTCCTGAATTAATAGCCCACCAGTATGGTTTTTCTCCAATTTCTGTTTAACGGACAGATTTTCTCAACACATTTCTAAACATAATGGGCTCTATTTTGACGGTCCATGCGCAAAGCACAGGGCGCAAACGCTTTCAGGGCATGTCAGAACGCATTTTTGCTAATTTAAGGACAGGAAAATCTGCTTTGCCCCATGGCACATGGTCTAAAAAGGTTGAGTTTATTTTCTTAATGAGTTATAGGTGTGTTTTAGGAATAAACCAATTAGAGTCTCATCTCCCATTCCCATTAAGAGCCAGCTGCGTCGCGCCATAAGTGCATTCACTAATTACAGGACGGAAAGTAAGTCTAAGTGGAAAATCTGAGCATTTCACTAGCAAACAGTTAACAGTTTTTTTTTAACAGAAAACTGTTAAACAGAGCATCTACTGCGTGAGAATGAGAGATAATGGATCTACTTTCACTTTCGCTCTTGGATAGGGAAACCTTTACGCACAGACATCAATTAGTCTATAAATAAATACTTTTGTTTGTAAAGCTCAAATATTCGTTTCAAAACTATTTCTAAATTCAGTTCTAATTTCCAGGAAACGAATAAATGAATAATAATAACAAAATGTGCTCAAAAACCTGAGTTATATCCTAAAACACATGCTGTGCCCCATATGGTCTAAAACCTGACAGGTGGGCAAATCTAAGCTTGTTTTTAATAAAACAAATATAAATATGGATATAATAAATAATACTGCTAATAATAATAACATTATACAGAAGCAAATTGTTATGAATGAACTGAAAAAGCCTCCCGAGATGAAGAAAGCATAAAAGCAGTGATTTTTCATATTTATGTAGGCTAGACAATAATGTCTTGTAATATTTTAATCCTTTATATTTATATCCTATATTTATTCTTATTATATCCTATATATTTCCTTAATATTTTCATTTTTTTCATATGTAAAGATATTTGCCTATTGCTCTCTTGTGTGTATTAAGCAGTGTGTAAGCGAGGCGCAACTCTGCGCTGGAGTTTAGACCGGGTTAGTTTTGGTCTAATGAAAACTCTATTATATTTTCTCAAAATAGCAACGCGCCAGCGGTCCGACTCAGAACGCCTTCCTTTTTAGACCAGAACGCCTATGAACGCACATATGAGCGCTAATGCATTTGCTATTTAAACAGCGTAGCGCAACGCCTCAAAACAACTCTTGCGCCAAGCTGAAACTACCAAAAGACTACTGCGCTGCGCCACATTGCGCCAGGTGTATGATAGGGCCCGTAACTGATTTATTTTACCTTTGCCATGATGACAGTAAATAATATTTCAAGATACTAGTATTCAGCTTAAAGTGACATTTAAAGCCTTAACTAGGTTAATTAGGCAAGTTAAGAAACATATTGCTTGAAAGGGCTAATAATATTGACCTAAAATTGTTTCTAAAATATTAAAGACTGCTTTTTTTTTAGCTGAAATAAAACAAATAATACTTTCTCCAGAAAAAAAAAATATTATCAGACACACTGTGAAAAATTCCTTGCTCTGTTAAACATAGGTTGGGAAATATTTTAAAAAGAAAAGGAGGGCTAATAATTTTGACTTCATCTGTATATTGTCCTATTGCACAGCTCCAGTTCTCATAATGCATCTCTTTTAGACTCACAGCCAACTTTGTGTTTTCTTTGCACAGGGAAAACATTGTGGAGCAAAGCATGGAGTCCGAGGCTGAGTCTAGTGGCGCTATCACCCTGCCTAAGGACACAGTTTTAGGTATGAATTCATTGTGTTTCAGAAATTGAAGACGTTTTAATAAAGCGCAATCCACTTATTACAGTGATCTGTAACACAGTAAATCCACTTGTAATCTTATTTTAAAAGGGTAGTGCTTTTAAACAATGCTGTTACTTTACATGGTGTTTGTTACTTATTTCTCTCCATGTATGTACCATTAGTACATACACAAGAAAGTTTTATAATAAAAATAATATAATTTCATATAAAAATATATTAAATAATTAAAACACATTTAAAAACTACACATAAACATATATTCAATAATAAAGATAATAAATCCCAAATAGTAAATTTTTTTATTTAATGAAACTTTGGGGATTTATTCAAATCATTGCAAAGCAATGGCTGTCATCACTTTAAGAGTCAAAAAAATATATACAGGCAACATAAAATGAATATGCAATGTAAAACTTATACCTGTAGATGTTGGAGTTTTATATTAAAGTCTTATAAAGTTAAAAGATAAGTCTAAAATAGTCATAGTTAACCTATGGTAACAGCTTTTGTCAGTAAAAATAGTTCTGATGGATGTATTATTTGCATTTTAATGCATTAAAAAAATATCTAGTCAAATATTATGTGCTGTCATCATGGCAAAGATATTAGAAATCAGTTATTAAAACTGTTATGTTTAGAAATGTGTTGAAAACCTTTCAACACATTCTGGGGGCTAATAATTCTGACCGCAACTGTACATGTACATTCAATTACCATAACAATAGACTTTATGTGTTTATATTTTGGCAGTGAAAATATCTGACGATACAGATGTAGAGGGCGATATTCTCTACCCAATAACCTGTGGAGACAGCAAAGCCAACCTCGTGTGGAAGAAGTTTGTGTGTCCTGGAATCAACATCAAATGTGTGCAGGTAATATGTGATTAATATATAACCCTCATCTTGGTGTAAACATTAATCTCTTAATCATGTCACTTAAAAGGATAGTTCACCCAAAAATGAAAATTCTGTCATCAATTACTCTTCCTTGACTTGACCTATTTGACTTTCTTTCATCTGTGAACACAAAAGAAGGTATTTTGAAGAATGTTGTAAACCTGTAACTATTGACTATTTTCTTTTTCCCCACTATAGAAGTCACTGGACAGCTTAATCTGTTCCTGGAAGAATATTATACTGTCTTTACTAAACGATTTCTCCATATTCACCAGCTGAACGAGCATCTCATCAGTCCAAAGGAGTTTGTTTACATCGCAGGAAAGTCCACACTGAAGGACTGGAAGAGAGCCATTCGCCTCAATGGGACCATGCTGAGGTTTGTGGCACAAAAAAAGACTTTACAGTGATCCCTCATTATTTGCTGGGGTTACGCTTTTAAAATAACCTGCAATAGGCAAAATTGAAGTAATCAGCTTTATTTTTTACTATAGATCAGGGTTCTCAACCTTTTTCACTTCGGGGCCCACTTCTTTCCACGATCAAATTTTAAAGGCCCACCGGTCTGACAATTTCGCTAAAATGTTTGTATAAAATGTGCTAAACTGGTTAGGGCCGGGCCTGTGACTGAGTCAGTTTCATTTGTTTTGAACTGTCACATGTCTACGTCTGTAGCGTGCAGCACTCATGACCGCAGCCGCAAAGTTTTTGGTGAAATGAAAAAGTTTTTAAAACTAAAGGCATCGCAGACTTCTGATACGTCTTCAGATCAAACCAAATCTAAAAAAGGAGCCACACAGAAATATGATCAGTCCTACCTCAATCTCAGTTTTATTGCCGGCAGAGGTCCAGAGGGTGAGGAAGTCCTGCAATGTCTTTTATGCTTAGAAAAGCGTGCAAGTGCTAGCATGAAACCCTTAAAAGTTAAAAGACACCTGACAACAAAACATTCTGCATATGTCAACAAAGGTTGATCATATCTTTTCTGAAAGTAGAAGAGTATCTTTGTCAATAAAAAATTATCTCAATTACAGCCAGCATCCCACAAAAAGCACTTTGAGCCTCATTTTGTGCATATCAAATCGCAAAATTCAAAAAACCACACACCATGGGTTCTATTTTGACGGTTCATGCACAGAGCGCAAAACGCAGGGCGCAAACGCTTTCAGGGCATGTCAGGACGCGTTTTTGCTAATTTAAGGACGGGAAATCTGCGTTGCGCTTCGGCGCATGGTCTAAAAGGGTTGAGTTTATTTTCTTAATGAGTTATAGGTGTGTTTTGAGAATAAACCAATTAGAGTCTCATCTCCCATTCCCTTTAAGAGCCAACTGCGTTGCGCCAAGAGCACATTTGCTATTTACAGGAAGCAAAGTAAGTCTAAGTGGAAAAAATTAGCATTTCACAAGCAAACAGTTAACAGTTTTTAACAGAAAACTGTTAAACAGAGCATCTACTGTGTGAGAATGAGAGATAATGGATCTACTTTCACATTCCCTCTTGGATAGGGAAACCTTTACGCACAGACATCAATTAATCTATAAATAATTAATTGCATTTGTTAAGCGCAAATATTCGTTGGACAAATATTGCGCAAATATTGGTGGACAAATCTAAGCTTGTTTTAATAAAACAAATATAAATATGGATATAATAGATAATACTGCTAATAATAACAACATTATACAAAAGCAAATTGTTATGAATAAACTGAAAAAGCCTCCCGAGATGAAGACATAAAAGCAGTGGTTTTTCATATTTATGTAGGCTAGAAAATAATATGTTTTGTAATATTTTAATCCTTTATATTTATATTCTATATCTATTCTTATTATATCCTATATAAATATCCTTAATATTTTAATTTTTTTATATGTAAAGATATTTGCCTATTGCTCTCTTGTGCGTATTAAGCAGTGTGTAAGCGAGGCGCAACTCTGCACTGGAGTTTAGACCAGGTTAGTTTTGGTCTAATGAAAAATCTATTATAGTTTCTCAAAATAGCAACGCGCCAGCGGTCCGACTCAGAACGCCTTCCTTTATAGACCAGAACGCCTATGGACGCACATATGAGCGCTAATGCATTTGCTATTTAAACAGCATAACGCAACGCCTCAAAACGACTCTTGCGCCAAGCTGAAACTACCAAAAGACTACTGCGCCGCGCCTTGCGCCACACTGCGCCGGATGTGTGATAGGGCCCCATATATTTTTGACTGCTTTGAAGGGATACATTTTTTTTACCCATTTTTGTTAAATATTATTGTGGGTCTTGAGATTGAATTACTTGCCTAGGTGGGTCTCAAGCCACCTTTCCATTGCACACGACATTTGGACACGACTGTCGGAATACGCCCCCTTGTGGCAACCGCACAGTATTTTCAGTGTTGTTGTGCACCACGGGGGAGAAGCTCATTTTCACGGTGTCCGAAATAAAGGAGGGCAAAAGCAAGAGCCATTATTCTCTGTGCGTTTACATAGTTTAATGGATAAATTAATACTATAAACTCATAGACCTCTAAAATATTGGAGGGAATGTGGAGACAACATTGAAAATATATATTTTAATACTTTCTTACTTACATTAATGAACAGAAAAATTTTGTTTTTTTAATATAGACTTTTTATAATTTAAAAAATAACCAAATAAACTCCTATTTCTCATCTCGCGCGCACGGATCTGCTTGGACAACACTGAAATACATCACATCCTGTTGGCAGGTTGCATACGGTCTAGTCGCAGGAGTTCGAATATTTCAACGGATCCGCAGCTCAGTTCAGATCTGAATCTTCCGCATACGGAGATGATCGGGACTCAACACAGCTCCCGGACTGCTCTCCATTGGAATGACTTCTAGTCTGTCGCTTGTCGTTTGTCGTGTGCAGTGGAAAGGCGGCTTCAGAATAAAAAAAGTTTGGGAATCCCTGCGATAGACAATGCCATTGTTCATCACCAATGGCCGATAGACATCATGATGCTTAAGGTTGGCATTACGATCCTCCGCCCCGGCCCGTCGCAGCAGCAAAAAATACACACTTAGGCCCTGTTTACACGAATTCGTCTTAGTTTAAAATGGCATTTTAAAACAAAAACGATCCACGTATACACTGGCGTTTCACCAGGCATTTCTGAAAAGATCCACTATATACCACTGAAAATGCACATCACATGACCACACACACAAACACACACACAAGCATGCGCTGCAGATTATTCACGCGTCTGAGCTCCAAGCAGTCAGCAGGGGCCTCATGTATCAACGCTGCATACGCACAAAAACTTTGCGTACGCCAGGTTTCATGCTCAGAATCGCTCACGTTTGGATTTACTAAGATGAAATGAACATGGGAATGTGCGCAGCTCCTTGCCAGCTTTATGGCTGGTGTACGCACATTTTTTGTGCGTGTCTGTTTTAATTCCATTGGCGACTCCTAGAGGCAGTTGTGTTAAATTGCACACTACAAAGTGTCTTTGAGCCTTGCAATGGCAGCTGTATGAGACGGGTTCATCTAGCAGGTATGTAAGGTTTCCATACCATACAGTTGACCAGCCAAACATTAAAGCGCAATTTGCAGCAGTCGCCTGTTTTCCAATGTAATGGGAGCGATCTACTGCACGCACATTGCTATAAAAGCACCATGTGAAGATGAATTTGCATGCGTGAATCAAAAACATTTCCATTCAATAAATGTGCAAATAAAATATGATGCACAGACTTTTTAATGATTCCTACTTGTCTTTCTCGTGATAAATAGTAGGCAAAATCTGATATGTAGCAGGGGGAAAAAAAAAAAGAGTGAGTTCATCAGACGCTGGATTCGAACCGAGTTCATGCTTAAACGTGTCAAAACATGTTACCATTTGTTTTACGAGCTGCGCCACTGAGACTTTTAAGGACACTATAACATTTTACACATATATTCCACACTATTTATTTATTTTTAATGCACTCAGTGCGATGTTCAGACTGAACTGTGTTAACCGCATCAGCTAAACTCTCCCCACTCTATTTTTTTCTTTTGTTGTTAATTCCGGAGGACAAACTTGCAAATAACACCGTTATCGGTCTACCTCCGAAAGCAGCACCTCTAATTCACATTCTGTTCAAAGTTTCTCTTCTTGCTTGCTTTTGCCGTTGCTTTTTCGTTGGGTTTTGCCAAAGTAGATTCATTAGCATATTCATACGGGGGAGGAGGCAGGGAGGGGTTTTGCGCTCGTGCATGTTGAGCTCAGTTTCACGTTTATTCTGATGTACAAAAGAATATGCGTGTGATTCGGCGTACGCAGTGTTTCATACATCTGAATTTTTTTCAATGTTTTAGTAAATAACGCAATGTTTTAGTATGATTTCCACACAAGTCTCGTACATGAGGCCCCTGGTGCTTTGATCACAAAAACACCCCAGAGAGCAGTGCACATCGGAAAATCAAGGATGTACTGCTGGATTGTGTCTTATTTTAGTTGTTAAATGTGATATTTAATTAATCTCGTCTCTATCTAACGACTCTTTGGTCTTTTGAGTCAATCAGGTAAAATTTTACTTTTTCAGTACAAGGCTTCAATCTTTCGCTTTAGCACTTGTACTTAGTAATTTTAGCGTAAACCTCAGATACTGTTGGTTGTGCACGTTTTTTACCAACCAAGTTTGTGGATGCCATTATAACGACACAGATCACTCTGCCTATTCATGCCAGAGTCATGCGGAAAAGTGATTGACAGGTGGTCATTTGTGTGTAACTTATCTTTAACTTATATTTATTTACAATTTGGTTATAGGTAAAACAAAGACCATGCCGGTCAGGTAGTTAAAATGGTAGGCTACAAATAATTTGTTATGAACTAATCAATTATTCATAAATTATTAATTTACCGCCGACGCTGATGCCATCGTCCATCATCGTACAATGCCAAATTGGTCGACATCGCCCAACCCTAGTATGTGGTAGAATATTAAGCACGATTTTTTTGTTTGTTTTTGTTGGAGTTAAACAAAATCTAATGAAATTTTTATGTAATTTATTAGTCTATATTATTATTGTTGTCGAAAATCATGATTTCAGTGTATTATTTTGTCTGCAACAACAATGTGAACTTAAATTAAGATATGTTTGCACATTACTTCTTCCAAATGCATAATTGTCAAAGACCTGAGGAGATTTCTCTGCATGAAAGACTGGTGAATGGCAGATTATCCTGCTGCTGCTTTTCCAATATGGTTGGGATATGAAATGTGGATGATGTGTCGAGATGATTGACAGGGGACAGAACAAACCAACATAACTATCTGCTAAGAAGGAAGTAGTATGTCCCAAAGCTAGCGTATTCTCCTGTTGCACACTCAAAAGTTTACTTTTAAGGCGTAGTATAAGTATGCTAATTAAGAACAGCACTTCTCTCTTTGTTTGTTCCTGCAGGAAGATCATGGATTCGGGCGAGCTGGACTTTTATCAGCACTCCAGACTGTGTTCAAACACCTGCCGCAGTACTAAGATTGACCTGGTGGGGTCTCGGGGGTCCCTGAGCAGCCAGCAGTCCACAGAAACAGCTCCTGCGACCCCTGCTTCTACTGACGGTACACATACACACACACACTCACACACACACACACACACACACACACACACACACACACACACACACACACACACACACACACACACAAAACTAAAAACTCGGTCATCATTTACCCGCCTTTTACTTGTTCCAGACCTTTATAAGTTTCTTTTTTTCTGTTGAACACAAAAGAAGATATTTTGAAGAATGCGTGAAACCTGTAACCATTGACTTCCATTGGTGGCAAAACTAATACAGTGTAAGTCAATGGTTACAGGTTTCCAGCATTCTTAAAATTTCTTCTTTTGTGTTCACTTGAAGAAAAACTCATAAGTAAGTTTGTAGCTATTTGAGGGTGAGTAAACACTGAATAAATATTCATTTTTGGGTGAACTGTCCCTTTACTTTGTATAAAACAATAGGGTGTAATTAGTTGCAGAGTAAGTAGTTGTTTTAATTAAATTACCTTTCTACATAAAAAGTAAAGCTGTACATTGCTGTACATTTTAGGTCATTTACTTACAGTTACTCATTTACTCTTGCCCTAAATACTGTACATAATTGTAACAGTTCTGTTTAAATCAGTTCAGAGAAGCAGCTTAATTGCATGTTTTATTGATAGACAAATATGTTTTGCAGATTAAATCTATTTTTCAACTAAAGATGTTATTTATCAAGACGAATGCTCAAAGTTATAAACTGAAATACTCAGACCAGTCTGACACCAACAATCATGCCACGTTTAAAGTCACTTAAATCTCCTTTCTTCCCCATTGTGATGCTCAGTTTGAACTGCAGCAGATCGTCTTGACCATGTCTACATGCCTAAATGCCTTGAGTTGCTGCCATGTGATTGGCTGATTAGAAATTTGTGTTAACGAGCAGTTGGACAGGTGTACCCAATAAAGTGGCCTTTGATTGTATGATATGTATGAAATATGTTGTCATTGCCTTAAAGCATTTTATTCTTCATTTCAATTCTGTTTGATAACTAAGTAATGTTATTTTTGGTGAAATATATTAAGCTAATATCCCAGTTTTTACTTAATTTAATTGATTTAATTTCTTCTGACCATGCATTGAGATTTATAGGGATTTAAAGTAGGATTCTAGCAATTATTTTATTTATTGAGTAATTAAATTACTGTTCATTCATAATAATTAGAAAAGTAATTTAATTACAGTTTTAATGACGTATTAAAAATATAATTATAATTTAACTTACCCAATTTACCTACAGTATAGCTCATGTGTTTGTACAGGTTTATACGGTCATGAAAAACCATGAAAGGTCATGGAATTTTGACATGGCATTTTGCAGGCCTGGAAAAGTTATGGAAAATCTTAAAACCCACAAACTTTTGGAAAAGTCATGAAATTTAGTTTACAAATATCTGTATATTTAAATATGGGCTAGTTTTCTTCTTTTCTGTCCATGGTCAAACTCATGCTTTCACATTATTAGTGCTGTGTGAGCATTACCTAAATAAATTTTACATGTATATAAAGATTCATTTAAACCAGGGGTTCTCAACCTTTTTCATTTCGAGGCCCACCTTTTTCTCTTTCTTTTGAAGGCCCAGACTGATTGTCTAGAAAAAATACTTATTTCAAAGCTTCATTTATCAGCAAAAAATTATTTTAAAATTATTTTTGTATATAATTTTATTTATATATATATATATATATATATATATATATATATATATATATATAGATAGATAGATAGATAGATAGATAGATAGATAGATAGATAGATAGATAGATAGATAGATAGATAGATAGAAAATATTTTAATAATTAAAGTATTTAATTTAAGTATTTGGGCCTTTTCTTAAGTAAAGGAAGCTGATGCTTTGAATTATTATTCATCTATTGATTTTGATCCATTAACATAAACAATCTAACCCTAAACGTAAAATATCTGTTGAATCGCCTTGATCTGAAGGCGGTTTGGTTTGTAGCTGGATATTATTGGAGTTCGCTGACAGGAACGGTGAACAGCTGTTCACTACTGAAACACCACAACGTCTTGCTAGATCCTGTACGCACACGCGTCAGTTATAAAACGCTCGCAAGACGTTGATTTGGACAACTATGCGGATATTTTAAAGTTTTCACACTAAGAGAAAGCGCAAAGTTTGTGAATCAACTGCTACTCTGATACAGTGCGAGTCACATATGTGAGGCAGGCGTGAGCTGGTTATTATAACTCTCATCATCGTTACCGTTACATTTGCATGACTGTTTGCTTTATACAACGGAGAACGCAGTCCCAGTTGACACGCAGTGGTTGGTAATTTAAGCCACAGTTATGTCTGTAATTAACATTGAGGCTGTTTTTGCAGTCCGAATTAGCTTGTTCAATCACAGAACATGGAATATGCCATTACTACTATCCTTTTAATATGACATATGTAATTATAGTGTAATATTTAACCGGCCCACTGGTTGAGAATCCCAAATTTAAACTAAATTTTTGCACGTTTTATGATATGCTGTTATAACTTTAAACATGCATTGTTTTTCTTGTTATATACCACGTATACGTAGACATTACATGAAACATTAGGTCATGAAAATTTACTTGAAAGTTCTGGAAAAGTCTTGGAAAAGTCATTGAATTTTAGTAGTAAAAATGTGTATGAACCCTGAATGGGGGAAACTGGAGCACCCAGAGGAAACCCACGCCAACGCGGGGAGAACAAGCAAACTCCACACAGAAAAGCCAACTGATCCAGCCAAGGCTTGAACCAGTGTCCTTCTTGCTGTAAGGCGACATCGCTACCTACTGCACCACCGTTATTTATTCATTCATTCATTCGTTTTCTTTTTGGCCTAGTCACTTTATTAATCAGGCGTTGCCACAGTGGAATTAACCGCCTATTTTATATTATATTATATTATATTATATTATATTATATTATATTATATTATATTATATTATATTATATTATATTATATTATATTATATTATATTATATTATATTATATTATACAATTATGTTAAATGTTATGCAATACATCATAATAGTACATAGCTTTGACTTAAATAAGCCCTAATAATATCTTTATAATATATATCATATATATCTTTAAGATATATATATAAGATATATAATATATATCTTTATCTTTATAATATATATCTATATATATCTTTATAATAAATATATATATATATATATATATATATATATATATATATATATATATATATATATATATATATATATATATATATATATATATATATATATATGAGTAATATTGATATCTGTTGTTGTTGCAGTGAACGGATCATCATCTTCATTCTCCACAGATGTTGAAGACAGCACTGAATGGGTCACAGCTATCGGAGGTCAGTGTCTTCTGCAATGCTTTATTAAGTACTTCAAGGGATGCTTTTAATTTATATTTTTAATTGTATGAATTTAAAGTTATTTATGAAAAATTTTACTGAAAATACATATCTAATGCTTTAAATGTAAATAATTTTAGCTTTTATTTTTATTTTTTTTATAAGTGCTGGGCAAAGATTAATGGCATCCAACATAAAAGTGTTTATTAGTGTTTATTATTTAAAATAATTAGTTTTTATTTATTTATTTAACTTTTTTTGTATCAACTCTTATTGAAATGTGTAGTTTTTATTTAAGTTATTATTATGTAATATATTTTTAATCAGCCGGCAGCTAGCTCTCTGCAGCTCTCACATGGTCGCTCACTGAAGCTAAGCAGGGCTGCACTCAGTACCTGAATGGGAAAGCTCATGGTAAAACTAGGTTGCTGCCAGAAGTGGTGTTAGTGAGACCAGCAGGGGGAGCTTAACCTGCAGTCAGTGTGGGTCCTAACCCCAGTATATTGATGGGGATTCTATACTGCTGAGTGAGCGGAGTCTTTCAGATGAGACGTTAAACCGAGGTCCTGACTCTCTGTGGACATTAAAAATCCCATGCGGTCATTCAAAAACGAGTAGGGGATTTAACCCCGACATCCTGGCCAAATTTGCCCACCGGCCTCTGTCCATCATGGTCTCCTAACTGTCCCCCATATCATAATTGGCTTCATCACTTCTCTCCACCAGTCAGCTGGTGTGTGGTGTGCGGTCTGCCACCATCCAGGTAAATGCTGCACACTGGTGGTAGATGAGGAGATGTGGATAAGGAAATGTGTAAAGCGCTTTGACTGTCCAAAAATGCGCTATATAAATGTAAGGAATTATTATTAATCTACGCTGATCTTGCCATGAAATAGCTAAGTTGCTAATGGGGCAATAAATAAACAAACAAACAATGGTTTATTATAGTTGACCTGTGTGGTTTGTTAATGTAACTCTCTCTCCCGCTGTCAGAGGACACCATGACATTCTGGAGAGGATTGAAGGATGCTGGGATGCTGGAGGACGTGATGGAGGACCTGCAGAAAGAGATACAGGAGATTCTCAAAGGCCTTGAGGAGCGAATCCAGGACCCTCCCCTGCAGGTCAAAGGTCAGAGTTTAACCTTAAGTTTAACCTTAAGAGTTTAATTTTAAAGCTTGTTTTTTTTAAATACTGTATAAAATAAATTTCAGTAAAAATGGTATTAAACTGTATATAAAAATTGTACAAATCAAAATGCCAATTATATATAATGTTATAGGTGGGCATAGATTAATTTTTTAATCTACATTAAAATGGCTCATTTGAATTCTGCTGAAGGCATTCAGAATATGTGTGCTACCCAAATAAAAAGTCTTTGAGAACGGGTTTCTCAAGCCAGGTGGCGCATTAGACCAGGGGCTCATCTCCTGTTTCCAAAATGCATCACAAACTGCTTGGGAAACTGTTCTACTATGAAAATTGGTGATGAAAATGAATGATGTTCAATAAGATGTACTGGTGTTTACTAACTGTTTATTCAGGTAAACATGAATGCTGAACTGTAGGCCTACATAAGCTCCAAACAGCAATTTTTTTTTGATCACCTTAATCCAACTGAAGTCATAAATGAACTAAACAGAAATGGAATTAAGACATGTGGAGTATGCAGATATTAGTGGCATTATTGACATATTATAAAGGACCGCACACACACAAACACACACACACACACACACACACACACATCGCAAAACGTGAAAGTTTTTTTCTATCCACTTGGCGTGCGTTATCAAATTCCATAACATTCTCACCAGTCCTCACTCCTTATTTGCGTCTAACACCCCAGTTTGTCACGGGGGCATGAATGAAATGTTCATGAGTTAAAGTGAAAATGCTGAACTGCAGTTAAAGTCAGGCATCTTGCTGAAGGGCACTTTTTTGTCAGATGGTTCACAGGTCAGGTATACATCTGTGCTAAAATATCAAGGTTTAAGTCATGATAGCTTGCATAGAACAGACCCAGTTCCCAACCCTAATTTAAGAATTTTTAACGGCGATATTTTTTTTTTTATCAAGCGATAAGAGTCTCGTGTCTCGCAGATATTTATTTATATATATATATATATATATATATATATATATATATATATATATATATATATATATATATATATTTATTTATTTGGTTATTTATATATTTATTTGTTTATTTGTTTATTAGTTTTTTATTTGTTAACAGATGCTGCTCTCCTCAACAATATCGTTCAGAACTTTGGCATGTTGGATCTGGTGAAGAAAGTTTTGGCCAGTCACAAAAGTCAGATGGACCGCTGCAGAGAGCAGTACACTCGCAGCTTAGTGGGTCAGTGTCACACTTTTGGTCATTTTGTGCATTCCATTCAGAGTCCCATGAAATGTCTCTGTCTCTCTCTCTCTCTCTCTCTCTCTCTCTCTCTCTATATATATATATATATATATATAATTATTATTATTTAATCTTTTTCGTCTAATATAATAGTTCAGACTTTAAATTATACTTTAAGCTTTGAGCTTTACTAGGATCTGCCATCATTGCAAAGACAAAAGAAATGAGTCATTAGAAATTGGCTATATCGCTAAATCTATTAAAAATGTGTGTAATAAACACTAAAAAGCACTAGGGAAATGTTTGAAATGATTAAAAATGTCACCGGAAGACTAATCATTTTGTCTTCACATGTGAATAAAATAAAATTGAAATTAGACAAAGTGAGAAGCTAGCAAGTTTTGACTGCTTTAATTCTGATTTCAGGGACCTTTTAAAGAGAATAATAAAGTCTTTTTAGCCAGTGATTTGAGCTTTTTTCCTTTATAGCCCTGGAGCTGCAGTGGCATTTAGTCTTTAACTGTAAATAAGAATAAAATTGAAATTGGTTGAAGGAACTTTTGACTGCTCATATCTTCTAAATACAAATTTTGTCATTTTTTTGGAGCACACTGGCTTTAAAACTAAAACTAACACCCAATAAACTGTTATTTTGATTTCAGGGCACTTTTAAAGAGATTTAAACAGTCACGTTTCAGTACAGTTGACGTCAAAATTTAGCCCTTTTGTGAATTTTTTTCTTTACTTTCTCAAATATTTCCCAAATAATGTTTCCCAGAGCAAGGAATTTTTTACAGTAGTTCCCATAATATATTTATTAATTTGTATTTTGGCTAGAATAAAAGCAGTTTTACATTTTTAAAAACCATTTTATGGTCAATATTATTAGCCCCCTTAAGCAATATTTGTTTTAGATTGTCTACAGAACAAACCATTATTATAAAATAACTCGCCCAGTTAACCAAGTTAAGTCTTTAAATGTCACTTTAAGCTGAATACTAGTATCTAGTAAAATATTATGTACTGTCATCATGGCAAAGATAAAGGAAATCAGTTATTAGATATGGGTTATTAAAACTATTATGTTTAGAAATGTGTTTAAAAAACAGATATTGGGGAAAAAACACCCACAAAATTCAGGAGGGGTAATACTTCTGACTTCAAAAGTTGATTTGAGCTTTGTTTGTTTTATTTATAGCCCTAGAGCAACAGTGTGATGAGCATCGCAAGCGTGCTAAAGAGCTGAAGAGTAAATCGCAGCACCTCAACAACGTCCTGATGACCTTGACCCCCGTGACCTCTCCACCCACCACCAAACGTCCCCGTCTGACCCGCGCCGTCTCCGGTCCCGCCACTGTCGCCAGTACACCCGCCCAACCCGCGCACTTCACCCTTCCCATCACACAACTCACTGGCTTCCCGCTGGAAAAAGTGTTGTCGCCGCAGACTCAGTCTCCTCTGATTAGCGGATATACATTGCTTACATCACCAGGAGAAATCCAGCAGGACGGCTCCAATTTGGCCATGTTGAGCACCGCTGGCCCTGGCGGACCCACTATTGTCAAAGTGGTCAGTCCATTTCAGCTGGTCACATTGCCCACAGCCGGAGGTGGAGCTACGGTGCAGAATTTGGCAGCCCCCGTAGGAGGCGCTGCAGGTAACACTGTTGTAGCAGTGCCGGTTAGTGCTATCAATACCGTAAACACTGCCACTGTGGAGACAGTCGGACCACAGGCTGAAAACGCTTCAGATGCAAAAGACGACCAGGAGTAAAAACGTTTTGAATTTAGCATAATGATGTAGTTTGTAAACAGATTTTTTTTTGTTTTATTTGAATTGTTGCATTTGATTTAATTGTATTGTAAAAGTTCAATAACATAAACTCTGCCACTGTGGAGTCTGTCGAACGGCAGGCAGAAAACACTTCAGAAGTGGAAGTAAAACCGAAAGTGAAACCGTTACGAATTTAGCGAATTTAGCGAATATGATGTCATTTTTGCAGTTTTATTTGAATTGCTTCAGAAGCGAAAGACAAGCAGAAAGAGTTAAACTGTTTCCAATTTAGTGCAACATAAATGTATGATATATTTTGAATTGTTGCTTTGCATTTGAATGAATTGTAATTGTATTGTAAAAGTTCAATACCGCCATCGCTGCCACTTTGCAGACTGTTGGCCCGCAGGCAGAAAACGCGTCAGATGCAAAAGACAAGGAGTAAAACCATTACGAATTTAGCAAATATGATGTAATTTGTTTTGCAGTTTTATTTTAATTGCTTCAGAAGCAACCATGACAACCTAAAGGAGTAAAACTGTTATGAATTTAGCGAATTTAAAAAATTTTATGTAATTAGGAAACATATTTTTTGGAGTATTATTTGACACGTTGTATTGGATTTAATTGAAATTGTATTGTAAAAGTTAAAAAACGCAAACTCTGCCACTGTGGAGACAGTCGGACAACAGGCTGAAAACGCTACATATTGGAAAGTAAAACCATTACGAATTTAGTGTAGGATCAAAGTATGATGTAATTTGTAAACATAATTTTTTTGGAATATTATTTGACTCGTTGTATTTGATTTAATTGTATTGTAAAAGTTCAATAACGTAAACAGTGGCACTGTGGAGACAAAAAACGTTTCAGAAGCGAAAGTAAAACTATGACAAATGAGATGTAAATTGTAAGCGTAATTTGTTTTGCAGTTTTTTTTTAATAGCTTTTAGAAGCAGAAGACAACCAAGAGTAAAACCATTTCGAATTTAGAGCAGCATCAAAATGTGCTATCATTTTGTTTGCAGTTTTTTTTTTTTTTTTTGCATTGCATTTGATTTAATTGTAATTGTATTCTAAAAGTTCAATACCGTAATCACTGCCTCTGTGGAGACAGTCGGCCCGCAAGCAGAAAATGCTTCAAATGTGAAAGATGTGTGTAAAACTGTTACGAATTTAGCGCAGCATCAATGTATGACGTCTTTGTAAATATATATTTTTTGCAGTTTTATTTGAATTGCTTCAGAATTGAAAGATGAGCAGCGGTATAAAGCGAATTTCGAATATAGCGCATCATTAAAATATGATGTCATTTGTAAAGTTTTTTTTTGCAGTCTTATTTGAATTGCTTTAGAAGCGAAATACGACCAGAAAGAGTAAAACTGTTTTGAATTTAGCGCAGCATCAAAGTATGATGTAATTTGTAAACACTTTTTTTGGAGTATTATTTGAATTGTTGCATTCGATTTAATTTTAATTGTATTGTAAAAGTTCAATACCGTAAATTCTGCCACTGTGGAGACAGATCACAGGCAGAAAAAGCTTCAGAAGCGAAAGTAAAACTTACGAATTTAGCGCATCATCAAAATATGAAATAATTTGTAAACACACACACACACTATATATGTATATTGCAGTTTTATTTAAATTGCTTCAGAATAAAAAAATGACCAGGAGTAAAACAGTTTCAAATTTAGCGCAACATCAAAGTATGATGTTTTTTCTAAACATTTATTTTATTTGTTTGCAATTTTGTTTGAATTGCTTCAGAATCGAAAGGCGCCCAGGAGTAAAACCGTTTCGAATTTAGCGCAGCTTCAAAGTATGATGTTACATTTAATTAAATTGTAACTGCATTGTAAAAGTCGGACCGCAGACAGAAAATGCTTCAGAAGCAAAGACGACCAGGAGTAACACCATTTCGAATTTAGCGCAACATCAAAGTATGATGTCAGTTGTAAACATAATTGTTTTGCAGTTTTATTTTTAATTCTTGCATTGCATTTGTTTCAATTGTAATTTGATTACAATGTGGTGAAACATATGCTAACTTATGTTTTATACGTAATGTGTCAAGTCAGTGAACTTTTTTTTTGTTGACCAGAGTGTGTAATTTGTAGCTATGAAGTCTTTTGGATATAATACTCACACTTTAATTTATGCTGTTCTCAATAAACTGCATTTTTTAACAGTGATGAATTTCTGAAAGTACTAAAAAAATAAATGACTGTATTTGTGATCTTTTATTTAAAATGGATTAACTTGGACTATCTTGTCTGGCAAAATAAGCACGAGCAGCATAGTTCAATTTAATTTGTAGTTCTCTGTTTGACCAACAGGTTGTGCTGCTTACTTAAACACTCTCGTGAGAACTTTCAGATGGACAGTTCCTGACAAGGTTTATCATTTTTGAGTATAAAAAGGAGGATTATATCTGTCCTAAATCGTTAATGTTGCAAATAACATAACAATGCAGCTTTGAATGTGGCATTAAGCGGAAAAACAAAGTTATTAATTACCTTTATTTTTAGATTAGTTAGAAAAACTTCACACAAAACATTCCCCAAACAATTTTAGCAGGTAAACTTTTTTGCCCTTTATTGGTCATCTTAAACAAGCATTTTCTGCAGTATGTATTGATTGCTTACATATGGGGAAAAGTCAACGGGTGCTATTTTAGGTTTTGATGACTTAGTGGCTAATTCATAGGAAAATATCTACAAAAAAAGAGCGAGCTGGTCATACAAATATATCCACTAATTCACCAAAACCTAAAAAGCAGTTACGAATTGCCATGATATATTGTGTTGCAGAGCACATGATTTACAGGTCGACAGGTGATTGACGGCGTTCAGAAGTCAGCAGCCATTTGGGGATAGTAAAACAGCCTCAACACGCGTAAGATCAAGGTGGAAACAACTGGAATACACTGGCAAAAATGAGTTCTAGTTGAGTTATCAATGATACAACAGCCTATAAAGCATAGTCCTCGTACGATGAGGGCTCTTCGTCAGAGCGCACGGAGATTTTGAAATGGCGTCGTAAAAACCCGCCATATCGCTTTTGGTTGTCCCACCTCAACTTAGGACGAATTCTTCTCATAAAACCACCATATCTCTTCTGTAACACCTGTGGGTTGGTGTCATCCACGAAGTAGCTTCGTTTTGGACCGAATTTGCGAAGAAACCCGCCGTAACGTTTGACTTCGTTTAATGGAACTTCATTATCGTAAACTCCCGTTTCGTTTTCCGCCCCCATATCTTCGCCCTCGTCGTCTTCCGTTATCGACGGTAGGTCTCGCTCGCCCAGTTTCGACAGAGATTCTCCGTATTTCTTCGCGAACAGTCCTTTCAGTATGGCGTTCTCTTTCCAGGGTGAAGAGAAAAACTTATTTTTATTCTTGTCGATCCTCTTGATGAATCCCCCGTATCGTTTTACCAGGTTGGAGGTCTTCTCTTGGAGGTCCTCATCTGTGTTTAACGCGTTTGTTTCTCCGTCTGCGCCTGTATTGAGCTCCGCTAAATCATCTGAAAGCCCCTGTAAAGCCTTCTCACATCTGTCAAGTGTACCGGTAGGCGGAACGGCTCCTTCACACTCTAAAGTACAAGTCTGGAAGAAGAAAAGGAGGTTTAACTGGGCTCGACACTTTCAGAGTTGCCGCCAAAATTAATTCACAGTCAAATACCGACAAAAATGAACCCAAAACAGTTCAAGGATGAAGTACACAAATTGTAGAGCATAATTAAACATTAAAGTTTTTTATGTAAAAATACCAACACATTAGAGTTTTTTTTTATTAGGAACTGCATTAGTTTGCTAATAAATAGATTCAATATCACATTTCAAGTTCAGAACATTTTATTTCATTTCATTTTCTTTCCGGCTTAGTCCCTTTATTAATCAGGGGTCGCTACAGCGGAATGAACCGCCAACTTATCCAGCATATGTTTTACACAGCTGATGCCTTTCCAGCTGCAACCCATCACTGGGAAACATCCATACACAATCATTCACCTACATAGCCTACATACGGAGAATTTAGCTTACCCAGTTCACCTATATCGCATGTCTTTTGACTGTTGGGGAAACTGAAGCACCCGGAGGAAACCCACGCGAACACGGGAAGAACATCCACACATAAATGCCAACCGACCCAGCCGAGGCTCAAACCAGCCACCTTCTTGCTGTGAGGCAAATGTGCTACCCTCTGCGCCATCGTGACGCCTAACATTTTATTATTTACAATAGAAAAAAAATCACATCTGAAAGTGCAACCTATTCTTTTTAATATATATTAATCATATTACCAAAAGCCATATCTGATATTTCCCCAACTGGTTTCTCCAAGCTTTTTGATCTAAAGGAGCGCGTAATAGCCGCGCTCTCCATGGTGCTGAATGCGCGCGCCTCAAATGAAAAGCGCACAGTTTTATTGGAAACCAAATGGTCTTAATACACAGATCTTTCTATTAATTAAATAATTGCTTAATATAGAGTTGATTTAGTTTATAAGTAATTTTTCAATAGTTTAATAAAATACATAAAGCTTTTTTAAGATTATGTTTTCAATGTTTACACCTTTGATTAGCATAGAACATATACAGATCCAATAAGTTTAATTTGTCAGCCAATTTTGGCTTTTTAGTCTTGTGTTAACCCTAAATTAAGCGCACGTAAAACTCAAAATATAGGGATAATAATCTTACCAAGCGGTTCACCGCAGAGTCCAAATCGGAGATCTGTTGCGCGCATCTCAGGCATTGCGCTGAACAATCTGCCTGGCTCAAGGTTGGAAAGCTCAGCATCAACACCAACACATACCACTCCATCATCGACAGTGATTCCTGTGGTGCGAGAGAACAAAAGAAAAGAGGATTTAAATAAACAATATTCCACTCAGGATCCACTTTATCCTCTCAGCTGTTAGGATGCTTTTAGAGTTTTTTTTATTTTTATTTCCAACCATTCATCAATGTTGTTGACTTGTCATCTTACAAATATATTATTTACACACAGTTCAACACAAAATCTGCTCAGTTACCTTGATTACCTACAGAGCTTATCTCGTTCTCCAAGCGTCAAGGCGATCACTTGGGGAAACTTCTTTGTTCTCCTGTCTTTTGCTGGAGTCACTCGTTATCCATCCACGGTTTGCTCTTATTTGGACTCAACCCAGCCTTCATACTTTTATTCACGCAGCCCACACAGCTGTCTGAATGAACGATGGTCTGACCAATGGAAACAACGAGCCATTTGATTGACTGATCCCACCCACGTAATGAGGGTAAAATATTGACGTTATTCTAATATAAATAATACAGATTTAAAAATATTTGAGAAGTGCATAGTGGTTATAAATGGTTTGTGTTCAAGTAGTTTAAATTACACTTCAATTGCATAAATTAGCCTATATTCTTTTAAATAAATATATGAAATTAAATTAAAAATACCCACTTTGACGAGGAGTATGTTGGTAACTTGTATTATTAAGAAGCATCATTAACTCAAGCCTGAGTGCTCCTCTTTTCAAAGACTTCCATTTTCACTTAGCAAGTCCTTGATTGAAATTTCAATGACATAAATCACAGTTTGATTCAAATACTCAATATCCAGACCAAAGCATGGGTTATATATCAGTTCCATGAAAATATAGCCTTTTTCCTGCTTTAACCTCTAACAATCCGGATGTTGTACCGGCTGGCATTGGGTAGCATTCCGTTTATCATGCATATCGTCCTGTTTCTGGAACTCCACAATTCAGTGTATTGGACGTTTCAAGGAAAGCTGTAGCCTAGCAAGATACTGCAGTGCATTGCAAATATGGTTAAAATATCACTCATTTCCATTGAGTCATGAATTACTACTCGCACAATCATCACAATGTTCTTAAAACATCTTTTAATAAATTATAATGGGCTTATGATATGCAGTTTTTATAAAAACAATGTTAATTAATGCCAAACAATTATGTTTTGATGTAATGCATTTAAATGAGAAACCTACATACAAAGTACCAGTAGCACTGACTATTTTGAAACAAGCATGATTAAGATTAATTATAATAAACAATATTTTATTGATGTATGGTTTGTTTGGACAATGTTTGGCTGAGATACAACTATTTAAAAACCCAGAATCTGAGAAAATCACATTCAAATGCCGTCTACATGATTTTCTTAGCTATATGCACATTGCTATGCTAATAAAAACCATTTATTTTGATGTATTTATAGTATTAAATTGACATATTAATGGAACAAATGCCTAATATTCCATATAAAACTGTATATTCTAGAAAAAAAAATCTAAATTTGACTTAGGTTATACAATGTATTTTGCCAAAACTATAGGCTACCAGTGTAATACGATGGCCCAGCGCCATATATACCTTTAAAGATGGCTATGTTGTGAGCTAAATGGGTGGCTAATCAATTGTATATATTTTGTTTCTCATCTGTTCGCATGAATCAATATAAAAACCCAGTTTAATAGGTGAATCCCCTCAGAAAAACGGCATTAATCTCGACGAAGAGCAGGAAACTCCACCAGTCTGTGTGTTATTGAGGAATACGCGCCTAAATATGTTAGCCCCGCCCACTCGCGTGAAGCGTCGCCAACGGTTGCAAGGTAGGCTAATATGTTTGTAATTGTTAAATTGTCATTTGCGAACGTTAAAGATAATAAAAGACGGCGAAAGAAGACATCAAAAGATGGACACGCCAACATTTAGACAAAGAAAAAACAACTGGAGTCTCTCTCTCTATATATATATATATGTTTTTGAATATTTAAACTTACAAACTTATTCATACATCACCTCTGTAGGAACTCAATCTATGGTGGTGTGTTTGTCTTGTAGTAACAGCGAGAGACACTGTTCAATAAATAAATGTCAGTTTCCAAGCAACCTCACCTATCGGTATAACATGTGTTAGTCCCCTGGGCTCGTTTGGACATGTTGATCTTCCTGCTTGTTGCCAAAGAACCAAAGATTAAAAAAAAAAATTAATGTAGGTTGTCACAGTGGACGCACAAATTTATCTGGTCTCCTCCAAGGAGCAGTTCAGTGCAAAAACTGAAATTTTACATTCATGTGTCTTGTCACAATTTTACAGTGCAGAGCAATTTCAGTGTTATGGATGTGACATTCATTCATTCATTTTCTTTTTGGTTTAGTCCCTTTATTAATCAGGGGTCGCCACAGCGGAATGAACCGCCAACTTATCCAGCATATGTTATTACACAGCGGATGCCTTTCCAGCTGCAACCCAGCACTGGGAAACACCCATTCACACACACACACACCAA